TGTGATTATTAAGTTAATTTATATAAATCACTTAGATTATGTTTGGCTCTTGGCAAATACTATACGTGGTCATTATTATTATAATAAATATAACAGCAAGCCACTGAGAGTTTTAGGAAGCAGTAATACATAATCTGATTTAGTAGTTTTTTTAAAAAATCTGTTGGCTGTTGTGTAGGAAATGGATTTTAAGAGGATAGAAGCCGAAGTAGGGAGACAAGTTAGGAGGCTCTGACAGCATCTCAGACAAGAGATGATGGTTTGGACTAGGGTGGTAATAAGGGAGAGAGAAGGAGTGAACCTTTTGGGGAAATATTGTGGCAGCAGAGCTGATAGGATTTGCATACCCTATTGGATGTGGAAGATGAAGCAAACAAAAATCAAGGATGGCTATGAGGATTTTGATTGAATAGGGTAGATGAGGATTCCATTTCCTGGGATGGTGAAGACTGGAAGAGAAACATGATACAGGGTGATGCAATCTAGAGTTCTGTTCCAGACATGCCATGTTTGAGGCTTCTATTCCACGTCCCAGTAGAAATATCAAGACAGATATTTGAATCTGGAGTTAGTTCAGGAAGAGTTCAGGGTTCAAGATGTAAACTTTTCAGTCACCTTCTAGAGATTATATAAAGCCATGGGTGAGATTTGTTAGGATGAAAGTGTAGGCATTGAAAGATAACAGACTATGCAGCCCCCCAAAAAAATGCCTCTTTGGTATATTGATTATTTTGAGCTGTAGTCACTTGAAAAACAGCAAATACAAGCAGGGGCTTTCTCTGAACTCCTTTTATCTGCCTAAAGACAGATCCTCAAAAGGAGTTCAATTGTCATAAATCCCCTCCCTGGGAGTTTCGTCAACCAGGGAAGATTGACTCTTGTCACAGGAGAGGAGAATAAAAGTGGACACCGCAGCCAGACAGACTGTGTCACAAACTAACATACTTCCCATCTACTCGTCTAAGGGTCCGTTCATCTTTCCTAAAAATCATTTACTCTCCCCAAGAGGTCTACCTCCCTCCTCCCCTTTCCCTATTAAGTCTGAATTCTAAGCCATTTTATAAGTTACTCATTTTTCCCTGGGAATCTACCCCGTATACATAAAGTATACGTTTTGTTTTGTATTTGGGGGAGGGAAGATTTGAAAAGATCCTTTATTATTTATTTATTTACTTGTTTTTAACTATTCCAACAAGTTTTATTGTATTTTTTCTTCCATTTTTTTGAAATATAATTGACATAGGGCACTATATAAGTTTAAGTTGTACAGCTTAATGACAACTTACATAGATCATGAAATTATTATCACAATAGGTTTAGTGAACAGCCATCATCTCACATAGATACAATGTTAAAGAAATGGAAAAAATTATTTCTCCTTGTGATGAGAACTCTTAGGATTTGTTCTCTTAACAACTTTCATGTATAACATACAGCAGCGGGCGGGGGCTACTCTTCGTTGTAGCCCCCGCCCGCTGCTGTATGTTATACATGAAAGTGTATAGTGTACATTACATCCCTGGGACTTATTTATCTCATAACTGGAGATTTGTACCTTTTGACTGCTCTCATCTAATCCTCCCACACACACCCCCCACCCTCCAGTAACCACAAATCTGATCTCTTTTGCTATGAGTTTGTTGTTTGTTTTTGAAATACAATTGACCTCCAACACTGTGTTATTTCCTGTTACACAACATAGTGATTCAATATTTCTGTACATTTCAAAGTGATCACCATGAGAAATCTAGCTATGATCTGTCACCATACAAAGATATTACATAGTTATTGGCTATATTCCCCACACAGTACATATCATGTCTGTGAATCATGTATTTTGCAACTGGAAATTTGTACCTCTTATCTCCCTCATGTATACATATTAATAACCTTCTGTTTGTTTTTCTCTTGTTAATCTGTCCTTTATTACAAGGGTCTCAGCTAAGAACTCAGAAGAGTAGAGGGAAAATTATTTCTCTCCCCTGCCTCCAACAGCAAGTACTGGGACAGTTCATTTTTATCATTTTTTTCATAAAAGCCAACTAAACCAAAATGCCTTGTGTGGCACAAAATCATATCCTTATAAATTAAACGCTTTCAAGGTTTTGCCATTTTCCCTTTACCTGTTTTGCTTTCCTATGTCTATTATCCTTTTATACTCTTTTACACCTTTATGTGTCAAATTTTATTTCCCTCCAAAATTTCCTCACTCTGCTTCCATAAACTACTTCTTTGTTATTTAAGTCCGTCTAATTCGTTGCCCTCCAGATGTTTCACCACCTGCCCTCCTCACCAGCCCCCAGCCCCCAGCCCCCAGTCTCAATTAATAAGTTCAGAGTGGAGAAGGCTAGGCTTCTGGAATGTGGCAAAGCCGATCCAAATTCTGGCTCTGCTACTTACCACCCAAGCGGCCTCGGACCCAAATGTTACCAACCAGGGTTCTTGGCCTTCCTTAATCAATAGAAATTGATCACAGGCCAGACAAGAAGTTCAGGCAAGGCTTTACTGGGGCTCCTGCTGCAGCAGGGGGAGCGAGAACAAGTAACAGTCCCTTGCTAGCTTGCTTCCCTGAGGGGATGGGGCGAGCTAGTTCCTTATATGGGGTGAGGGTAGAGGTGTGTCCAGGGGTCAGTATGGAGGGTTGGCTCAGGTGTCAGCCCACCCCTCTGTGGTGTTGAGTTGGGGGGGGGGGGCTGTGTGAAGGGCCTTCCTGAGACAGACCCCTCCCCCTCAGGTTCTCTGCTTTAGCTCCTCTCTGAAGTACCTAGGTAACAGTTATCTGATGCACATTTCCTGAGTTGCTTTACAGATGCTAAAATTCCCACCAAATGGAAGAAGTTAACTACTTGATAACCATGAGCACCCAGACTTATTGGAGCCTGAGGATTGATAGTGTTAAACCTGTGACCCTGCCCTGTTACCTCACCCTGTCAACCAGTCAAAGAATTGCATGAGCTGATCACAACCCTGTGACTCCCTCCCTCACCTTGTCTTTAAAAATGCCTCCCTGAAACCCACTGGGGAGTTTGCATTTTTAGAGCATTAGCTGCCCCAGACTCCTTGTCTGGTGCCTTACAATACACAGTGCACTTCCTTCATCACAACGCAGTAGGTTGACTTTATGTGCAGGCAAGCAGACCCAAGTTTGGTTCGGCAGCAAAATCCAAACTTCCAGTATCATTGTCATCATTCCTGCTGATTTCACGTGTGTGTTTCAAACTACCCTTGCAACTTTCTAAATTTATGTCAAGAATTCTCACTAGCCTCTACATTCACATGCTCAATATAATTGTATATTCTTTCCCGACAAATTTACAGCTTTGTACTTTGTTTTGTTGACTCTTGGCCTCCATTTCTCTGATAAACACCTTAAGTTAAATAGTCTCTCCTTTTATTTCACAGGGATGCTGTGGGTGTCAGCTGTAAATGGGCTTGGTTTCTTTCTCACAGTCTTTTTTTTTTTTTTGCGGTACGCGGGCCTCTCACTGTTGTGGCCTCTCCCGTTGCGGAGCACAGGCTCCGGACGCGCAGGCTCAGCGGCCATGGCTTACGGGCCCAGCCGCTCCGCGGCATGTGGGATCTTCCCGGACCGGAGCACGAACCCGTGTCCCCTGCATCGGCAGGCGGACTCTCAACCACTGCGCCACCAGGGAAGCCCTCTCACAGTCTATTTTACATCCTTACCTATCAGGGACAGTCTGTCACTGTCTAGACCTCTGAGCGTTTTAAAAGCCTATAAAGGTGTTTGAGACCTAAAAGAAAGAAGTCTTGGCTCCAAATTCAAAAAAGATAACTACAAAATCAAAACTGATAACAAAACTATAAAACTCCTTTCAATTTTTTACAGAAAAAATTTTTTACAGAAAAATGATGCATATCAAATATATTAAGTATGGTCGCATCTAATACATTTGATATGATGTGTCTTTGGGCGACCAGTTTCTGCAATCTTGAAGCATTAATAAAACTTTTCTCCCCTGATCTTCTTATCCCTTTCCATCTAATCCTATTTCATCAGGCATTTGTTCCTCCTTCAAATAATTTTGCCAAGTTTTAAGCATTCGATAAATTCATTTTTCCTAATCTCATACATAAGGTGAAAAGGAGTATCTACCACTCTACATTTCAGAACTTCTTTCTTTCAAATATATCCTGCTGATTCACTGTTAAATATAAAGAAATATATCTAAATAAATGTAGTTTAAATTTTTGTTCCTGTGGTAGATTCCAAATATTTGTCTTAGGGACAATTTTCTAATCACATCTAGCCACATAATTATTTCTTGAATACAACTGAAATTTCTTTCCATTACCATTCTTTTCTAATAAAGTGAAGTTGTCATGTACTTCGCTTTTTCAATTCAATTAATTTCAATTAAATAAATGTTCAATTAAAGTTAGAGAAGATATACCTACTATACACAAAAGTAGCGCAAAGGAAGGAGCAATTGATGCTGCCGTTTAGAGAAGGGCATCAAGGAATAACAATAACTATCTAGGTGCCAGGAACTTTATAATACCATTTTCTGCTTTAATTAAACCAAACTTCCTTGTGCTAGAATCTGCGAAGTTCACGCAACAGTAGTAACTTAATTTTCACTTGCTGGTGCTCCTGTGGATATATCTAGAAGTTGCTAGGCATGTCTTGAATATTGTCCATTAAGTCTGTTTGTCCCGGGAACTGCTGTGGGCCCACTGAGCATGAGGGTCTCCAGTGGATTCTGCCACCTGGTGAGTGCAGTTTGCTCACACATTGAAGTCCCCCACGGGGTGCTACCACGGCTCCAGCAATCCCGACAGCCACCATGGAGGACTCTCAAAGTGCCAGAGCAGGCTGCCAGTTTTTGATCAAGTGACGTACGACATCCCTCTTCTTTGTGTGATAGAGCCTGTTAGCGTGGCCCTAGGCAGTTATATGTGTGACTTAATATTCTGCTGACTTCTTTATCAGGTTGTTCTTCCAGGTTTTTATTCCAGGTCTTTTTCTCTTTTGAACTAAGGTCTGCATGTATGGACTGGATTGGAGACAGGCTGGAATAATATGGAGCTGTTGTTTGGCTGTTTCCCTGGGAGTGAATCACCTGTGGTGTGACTCTTCAACCCCAGGTGAGTGAATGTTGTTTGGGCAAGTCCCATCAATCGTCTGGCACACCTACCCACCTCCAAACTCCAACAAGGGTCACAGCTCAGGCTTACTGGCTAGAATAGAAATTAAATTTATCTTACAAATAAGAAAACTAAAGATCAGCAAATGTAGGTAATCTGCTGGAGTTCATATGCTTAACAAACAGCTGAAACATGATTCAAATCCAGCTTCAAGTTTTGTGGGTCTTGGTTTTTTGTGTAAGAATATCGAACTGCCTCCTGAAACTCAAAGATGCTCTTCTTTACCTCAAGATATACAATTCTGTTCTTTAAATGCTTGCCTTACCTTTCCAACTTTGTAAAGAAGCATCAATAAACAAAACTGATAATTACTCTGTTCGTAAGGAGTTTACACTTCAGGGGACTGATCACTTTTTTTCCTTCTTTCCCAAGCTATTATTTTAACCCGTATAACTAGGAGGAAGTAATCCTTCAGCTGCCTTGGCGTGTTGGGGAAGAGTAATGTCCAGCTTCTCTACAGGAGGATACAGAGTTCCTTTTTCAGGATTGACATATCAACCCAACCAACCACTCTTGGCAGCCTACGGCCTGTTTCCTTCTGTGTGTCGGAGGTAAGAGAAAACGAACAAAGCTGTTTCCAGAGCATGGAGAACTTTATTGCAGCTAAGATGCATTACTACTGTCTCCAGCACATATTTCCCTAAGTACATAAAACTAGCCACCTGGACAGAGGAGGTAATCCAAGAGTCACTAGGAAATTGAACAGAATTCCAGCTGCCCCTGCAAGTGTATAACAATGACCTACTCCAGCCTTTCCTGAACATATGAGAAGACTGTACAAAATGGGCTGGGGAAGGAGGGAGAGGAAGACATTGCTCAGGGTTTAAATAGAGTTTCTTCTGTTGTTTGTTTGTTTGTTTTATTGGAGTATAATTGCTTTACAATGTTGTGTTAGTTTCTGCTGTACAACAAAGTGAATCAGCTATATGTATACATATATCCCCTCCCTCTTGAGCCTCCCTCCCACCCCACCCCCATCCCACTCCTCTAGGTCATCACAGAGCACCGAGCTGAGAATGGGAGAGGGGAAGACAAGAGGAAACAGGCATAACAAGGAAAAGAAACAAGCCTGTCAGCCTGAAGCGCCCAGGCACTGGTGCGAGAATGTAGATATGCAGCCCTAGTGTACAATAGTGATTTGGGTGTCAGTCGGGTCACCCCACCTTGTGATCTAGATAACATGATTTTGACCCTCATCTCATCCTTGTAGAAAGTTCAAAAACACTTCCCAATATTCCATCAAACCCTGAAGTCTTAAACTACCATGATCATCTCTGACTTCAGACTCCTGCTTCTGAGAGTCACCTAGCCATCCTACTCCTGTTCTTACCCCATGAATCTAGACACAGATATGAGCACCTTTCCATAACTACCAAAAGTTAGGCAAGTCGTATCTGGCACAGACTTGACTGAAGGTTTCCCAGTTTTGTCAGTTTTAAATTCCCGCTAGAATACAATTATCATGAAGGCAGAAATGTGTTCATTTGTATAACCCCAATGCTGAGAACGATTAGAGGATGCTCAATAAATATCTGTTGTATGGATGAAGTAAGGCATCTTTTCCTCAAGGAAAAGACGAGCAACCTCTTATTTATTTTATACATCCTTGTTCTTAAATGTCTTCAGCCCGCATCCCACTAGGCCTTTCCCACAGGCCATTTATTTCTATGTAGCTCCCATCTCTTTCCCTTTATCTCTTTCCATCTCTCCTCCTCATTCCCTTGTTCCTGGATTAGCCCTGGGAACTTCACATTTTCCTCATTTTATCATGTAAAGCAATTTATATTTCTCTATGCCTAACTCAGAAGGTTTGCGTAACCAAATCCATTTTAGTGCTCAGCAAAACCGTATAGCCTTTTAGTTACCTGAACCCATCTGGCATTATGTTATCCTATGCGAATAGGACCAGTAAGGATTTCCTTCACAGGAAATAAACAGTTAAACTAGGAATCATTAAAAATTATATATTTATACCTTAAAAGTTTTATTTTATCTCAAAACATATTCATGTTTGTTTATTCACCCATTGGTTGATGTCAGGCCAAGTAATGTTCTTTAAGCATGAGTAGCCAGGTTGGAGCTCTGTATCCGCTTTCTTTCTTTCTTTTTTTTACTGAAGTATAGTTGATTTACAATATTTCAGGTATACAGCAAAGTGATTCAGTTGTGACACAAAGTGATTCAGTTGTGTCTTTTTCAGATTCTTTTCCATTATAGGTCATTACAAGATACTGAATGTAGTTCCCTGTGCTATACAGTAGATCCTTGTTGTTTATCTATTTTATATATAGTAGTGTGTATCTGTTAATCCCAAATTCCCAATTTGTCCCTCCCCCCGTATCAGCTTTCTTAAGTAAACCACACCCCTAGTGCATCTTGTGCTACTTCTGGTGTTTGATGTTTTAAGGTAATTGACAAGTTCTCTAAGGACAGAATTTCTTTTAGGTTTCTTTGTTATTCCCTGGTGTTTTATAGCAGTCTCGCCACAGCAGTTTTCTTAGTAATTTGCTTTGTTTAAGATTTCCAACAGTTTTTGTATGTATTTTATCAGATTACATAACATTTAATTAAGGACATAATTTAATAAATATGTTTGGCAAATTTGGGCGCAAGCACAAGGGACCCTTGGTAAGCAGATGACTTAATCGGAAGGAGCAGAAGTATTCACGAACACTGGCTGCAGGCATTCAGGGTGTATTTCAGCTAATCTGGTGCGTCTATTAAATCGTCCATTCAGAAATACTCTAATGTACAGCATGATGACTACAGCTAACACTGCTATATGATATATAGGAAAGCTGTTAGAATAAATTCCACGAGTTCTTATCAGAAGGAGAATTTTTTTTCCTTTATTCTTTCCTCCTTTCTTTTCTTTTTGTTGTATTTATGTGGCAAGATGGTTATTAGCTGAACCTATTGTGGTAATCATTTCACAATATATGTAAAGCAAACCATCATGCTGTATGCCTTAAACTTATACAGTGATGTGTGTCAATTATTTCTCAATAACACTGGAAAAAGAGAAGTACTTTACTGTAGCCATTTTTCCTCAATAAATCCCGATCAGAATCTCTACTTTTGTGCTTATTTAAAAAAATACTTTCACGTTTTAGTTCTATCAGTTACATTAGTCCGTAAACTCACTTTTGCATCTGCACTGAGATAGGGAGAGAGGAAGCCTAGGACTGCTATAGACTGTAGAGATGCCGAGTACTCTGATAGGCCTGAAGGTGAGCAGGGGATCTTAATGAGAAGCATACAAAAGAGACCCAAAGTCTCGCCAGAAACGAAAGAGCGGCACATGCAGGTGACCTGCTCAGCTGCCCCTTCCCATGAGGAGTAATTTCCCTTTTTTTCTCATATCTTTAGGGCTTTTGTGTTCTACTGAAGAGTATATCTCATAAATCTGGCAACTCAGTGTTCCATTATTTGTTTTTGACCCTTGAAACTTTCCCAGCAGAACCTGCCTCTCTTTAATCATGATCTACATGCTGGTAGTTTTACAACATAAAGAAGACACATAATGTTTGCCTTAAAGGATCCAGAAAGGACTGTCATCTTGTTTGTTCCCTTCTGAAAATCTTCCTGGTTCCATGCTATAACCAAAGGGTTCCCAGAACTGCATCTGCCTTCTGTCTTCATATCTGAATTAAAAGCACCTGACAGTTACAACTTCCTCCATCCCTTGACGTGGCTTTCTTTCATATTTGCAATTTGCGGCCAAATCAAAAAACAAAAACAGTCTACTCTTTCTCCTACCACAGGAAGTGGGAATAGCAACATATTAACAGACAACCAAGTTTGAGTCCACAGTGGCCACCAAATGTGCAACATATAAAATCGTTACCTGTAGCAAAGGTTAATCACTGATGTGATGGCCGTGTGCCTCTCTGCAGCCTGCTGTTCCATTCTTCCTAACGTCCACTAAAAGTATCCAGGGGCACCCACTCCTGACCACTCTCAGTCACTCATCACCACGTACCCCCCCCATAAAATAACCCCAGTGCCTTCCTTCTGAATCAAAGCTGAATCCTATGAAGTCTGAGCATCTACCTTCCTCCCTCCAGGAGACACTAGAATTGAACCCACCTTATTCCACATCACTCATCCCCCCCAAACATGGGTACTTGGTGTCATATCTTCTCTAGCCTTTTTTCATCCCCATATTGCTATGCCATGCTCAACACATGCCTCAGTATCCTGTATCTCTTTGTGGACTGTTCTGTACACCTCATGGCTAGGTTGGGAGAAGCAGGGGTCATGTGTTAGGGATGGGGCACACAGAGTACAAAGGCTCTAGTAACATTTTATACCTTAGGCTGTAATGTATGTACATGAGTGTTCATTTTATTATTCTTTTAATTTGTATATATTCATGGTAGATATTCCTTTACATGTATGATCTACTTCATAATTTAAAAATTAAAAAAAAAATACCTCTGTTCTCTTGAGGCATGTACCATCTAGCCAGGATACTCTCTATCCCATTTCATCAACCACTGTCAGTTACTGAAGTCCTGGATATTCTCCCTGGTTTATTCCTCCCCAACAAGGGCCTGCTATCAATCTGGTTGATTTTCATACCCAGGAGGTGACCTGTCCAACAGACTGGACTCTGAGTTCCTGAAACTCCTCTGTTCAAAAACATTTTCCTTCCCCCCCTCAGCCACCTTGAACTTTTCAAATCAGTAATTCAGAAAACCCACCCTCTAATGCAAACACTATCCTTCCAGCTGTTTGTTTCAGCTGTCCCCTTTCCACCTGTACTTCTGCCTGCCTATTGTACCGTCATCCCTTCAAGCCTCTTCTTTTTTTTTTGGCTGTGCCATGCGACATGCAGGGTCTTAGTTCTCTCACCAGGGATTGAACTCACAGCCTGGGCAGTGAAAGCATGAAGTCCTAACTACTGGACAACCAGGGAATTCCCTCAAGCTTCTTCTTTATGCCTTTCCCTCACTCCCCTCCTGCATGCACTTCATTGTTATTCAATTTAGATTTTATAGTCCATCTCTCCACTCTTTTGACTTTGTTCAATTTTTTTTTTATCCATTTGTTCTTTCATTGCACCTACCTGGAAAAACCATACCTGAATAAGCCCAACCATTCACTTTCCTGTACTGCTCTTGGGCAGCTAAACATTGCTAGAGAAAATCATAAAGCTGGGTTGAGTAAGGCCAGTTTTCAGTCACTCATCTCCGAATCTCACCACTGACAAACAACATTAGGACACATCTCTTATCAGTCCCTTCTCTCACTCATCACAGTAACTTTTCAAGTCCCTCCCTTCTCAAGCCTCTGACTAGCCCAGCTCTCCTTTCATTCTCAGCCAATGACTCACCTCCTTCAGAAAATAAATTTAAACAATCATACATAAATGATCTCATCTTCCAGCCCACAAGTCTAGAAATATACGTGTATATATGAAACCGAGCAGATCCCTGCAGGGCCTTCGTGATTGCAGACCCTTCCATGTTCCCCCACTCCCACCTTTAGAAAAAAAAAACAACCTTATTTTCCCTGACCTGTTTCAGAAAACAGATTCAAGCAATTAATCATTTAAGGAGGGGCAAAAGCAGGAACTAAGAAAAGGCAGTCAAGCAAGGAAGGTGATAACAACTTAAGCAATAAGTAAAATTGAAGGATGGGGTCATAAAGTCCTAGTTCTCCTTGAGAAAAACAGATAACAGTGTCTGACACACATTCTTAAGTTATTTCTTACGGAAACCAGACCCCCGACCAGGTGGAAACTGCTGACCCTGAACACATAGACCATAGACTGGTTGGAGCTGGAAAATTGATGATCAAGATTACTGAAACACCACCCTGTCACCTTACTGTCTACCAATCCGAAAAGTGTCCATGAGCTGATCACACACCCTGCGACCCTCACCCCAACACTGCCTTTAAATACATTTCTCTGAAAACCATCGGGGAGTTTGGGTTTTTGAGTATTAGCTGCCCATTCTCCTTGTTGGGTGCCCTGCAGTAAACACTGAGCTTTCCTTCACCACAACCCAGTAGGTTGGCTTTGCTGTGTATCTAGGTGGGTGGATCCAAGTTCTGTTCAGGAACATACACAATCATCCTACAACACGTTCTTCCTTTTATAAGGAAGAGTTGTTCTTTCTGCCATGTTTGGAATCCCATTGCCTCTCATTTTCTTGGAGCCATCGTCATTTACGCCTCCTCTCTCACATTCGCCACCTCTCCCTCTCCACCAGCTCCTTATCAACATTTAAATAACTCAACTAACTTTCACCCTTAAAAATCCTCTCATAACCCTATCCCCACTTCTGGTTATCACTCTGTTTCTTTCCTCTGCTTCTGGTAAAAGAAGCATAATTTCTGGTTGTTTTCAATCACTGAGTGGATTTCTAGAACCAGCCTATTTTTCAGGTTTTGGTCTACTATAAAATGAGGAGAATCACGAATACTGTCCCATTCAATTTTACTAATCCTTCTATTAATGTCTGGTTCGTTGAGTACCCAGAATGCATTTCTTCTTTCACCTGGGATGAACAGTAGAACCGACAAGGCTAAGTCAAGGGAGTGTTACACCAGGCAATTCCTGTCCTGTCCCAGGAGGTCTGGAGGCAGCCTTTCCATGATCACTCACAAGATCTCTTTCATGTCATGATCTGAGGAAGTCCATTCTCCTTGTAGTCCCTGCAGTGGGGGATGCAACTCCCAGTGTAGAGGTGTGATCAGCTGGGACATGGTAAATCACTAGAGGGCCATTCAGGTTAACCTGAAGAGTGGCAACAGCCCAGCTTTTATTAAAATTTTTTTGTAGCACAACACCGTAAATCAACTATACTCCAATAAAATTAAAAAAAAAATTTTGGCGGCCGACCACCATGATTGATTCAATTTATCATTTCATATATTGTATTTGGTCAGTTTTAAACTGTAAAGAGAGTTACTTCCGGGGAAAATTTGTAGGGCTACTTTCTCTCGCTGTCTTCTTTTGCTATTTGATGGTTTTCTTGTAATGATTTGCTTTCAAGTTTTTTCTCTTATCTTTTTTGTATCTACTATAGTTTTTCTTTGTGGTTAGCTCAAGGCATGCATAAAATATCTTGTAGTTGTAGCCATCTGTTTTAGGTTGATAACACCTTAACTTCAATTGCATACAAGAACTCTGTACTTTTACTCTCCTGTCCCCACACTTTCTATATTGTGTGCCCAATAACAAATTTTTATCATTTAACTTTTATATTAAGCTTAAACATAACTTAGGTACCACCATTACAATATTACTTTACTCTGCATTTTTTTTTTTTAACATCTTTATTGGGGTACAATTGCTTTACAATGGTGTGTTAGTTTCTGCTTTATAACAAAGTGAATCAGTCATACATAAACATATGTTCCCATATGTCCTCCCTCTTGCGTCTCCCTCCCTCCCACCCTCCCTATCCCACCCCTCCAGGCTGTCACAAAGCACCGAGCCAATATCCCTGTGCCATGCGGCTGCTTCCCACTAGCTATCTACCTTACTACGTTTGTTAGTGTGTATATGCCCATGACTCTCTCTCGCCCTGTCACAGCTCACCCTTCCCCCTCCCTAGTCTGCATTTTTTAATATATTTACCTTTGCCATGAGATTTATGCTCTCATATGCTTTTGCGTTGCTGTTTAGTATGTTTTCATTTCAATTTGAAGAACTCCTTAAGCATTTCTGTAAGGCAGGTCTAGTGGTGATGAGCTATCTTAGTTTTTGCTTATCTGGGAAAGACTCTCTCTCTCCTCCATTTTTAGAGGATAATTTTGCCGGTATAATATTTTTGGTTGGCAGGGTTTTTTCTTTCAGGTACTTTGAACATATCATTGCACTGTTTCCTTGCCTACAAGATTTGGGCTGAGAAATCCACTGATAGTCTTATAGGGGTTCCATTTCATGTGATGAGTCACTTTTCTCTTGCTGCTTTCAGAATCCTAGAGCTTAGTCAACAGCTTTCCCATCCACCCAGCTGAGTGTATAACGGGTCACTCTTGACTTCTCCCTCTCTCTAATGCCCCAGGTCCAATGAAATATCTTCTTATCATTTTACCTTTTAGATGTCTCTTGAACCCACTTCCACTGCCACGGCCCTCATCTGGCCCCCTTCACTTCTCGCCTAAACCACAGAAGCAGCCTCTTAATTTGCTCCATGACCCCACTCCTGCCTCTCTCTAGGTCATTTCTTCCATGGCAGCCTAAGTGCTCTTTACAACATTTATCTGATCATGTCCCTTTCTTGACTCTTAGGGTAAAGTTCCAAATTCGTAATGGCTCACAGGAAACCCCCTGGCCTACACTTGCCTACTCCTCTGGCATCCTTTACTGCCCTGGACTAGCTTTCTTCACTTCAGCCATACTATATCTCTTTCAGTTCCTCAAATATCCATGCCCCCTCCCACTTCTGGGCCTCTGCACAAGCTCTGTCCCAGCCTCACATGCTCTCCCTCACTTCCCATTTAGCTAACACCTGTTCATCCTCCAGGGCTCAGCTCAAAGGTTACTTTCTCAGGGACGCGTCCTTGACTTTCCAGAATAGGTTAGGTTAATCTGCCATGTGCTCCCACAGCACTCTGCACTGTTTTTCATTGTTGAGTTTAGTTATTCATAATTATTTATTTAATGTTTGTCTTCCCCACCAGTAGACATGTGTTCCATGAAGACATTAATGTATCCATGTCATTCATGGCTGTATGCCCAGTGCCCTTCCAATGCCCCGTCAAGTCCCAATAATAATTGCTGACTGGGTGAGTGAAACACAGATCTTCCTAGTTAAGGATTCAGTTTCAATGTGAAGGATTCAGTTTCAATGTGCAACTATAACCTAAAAGCTAATAATCTATCATATTTGTGCTTGCCTTGAACACTTTGACCTTTATTTTCCATTTTACAAAGCGTTTTTGGTATATACAATACTGCCCTCTTCCTCTTTTCCCTCTTCTCAGTGATGTGTCACCAGTGATTTTTTTTAATTGGGTGAGGCGCAGGTAATCTTGTTTATAACTCTGACCTTTCTGTGAGCAAACACGCAAAGTGAACTTTGGTTTATCTCCTACTGTAATGTAGCTGCTAATTGCCGACAGGAAGGCTGTATTCTGTGGTCCACGTGACCAGTGGGGTGACCAGAAAGGAGCGTGGGGAAGAGTAGACCACGGGACTCAGTGACAGGCTGTTCATTTGGAGTTCCTGCTTCCCTGAAAGGCCCAGAGTAAAGCAAGGAGTATGGTGCTGAGGTGAGGGAGGTCATGAAGACGCCACTGTTGGCCTTGGCTTTGTGGTCACTGCTCCTCCGACCAGGGCTTTTGTTCTGGACCTCCCAAGTGAGTCAGAACTGCCACAATGGCAGCTACGAGATCACTGTGCTGATGGTGAACAACTCGGCCTTCCCAGAGTCCCAGGTTAACTTGAAAGATGTGGTGAACGCGGGAATGGAAATAGTGAGACAGCGTCTGCTTGAAGCTGGTAAGAAGATGGTAACAGAATTCTCCTCCCTGTTACCACCTCTGGGGTCAGAGGGTTGCTAAGCGAAGACCTGTGTTCTCTGCCTGATCACCCAACCTTCTCTAAGGGCCTGGCCCACAGGCCTTTTCTATTTCAAGGCAATAGATCCTCAAAGAGAAGGATTTGAGCCCTACCTCAGTGAGTTCACTCATGATCTACTCTGCTTTGGGGATGGCCCCGACCCAGGTGTTCACAGCAGTGAAATGTCCCAGCTAAAGCTGGATTTAACTTAACTGGACTTAAGTAGATAACACTACTCAGCATCAGGAAGGCATTATGTTTCCTTCTGTAGCTTCTCAGAGGCAAGATTTGGTCTGTGTCTGAGATTTCACAGGGTTACCAGTCAAGAAGATGAATTAAGTAAAGATCCAGGTGCTAACTCTTTCACTGGGATTTTTAATCCATCTATTCACTCTTGACATCTCTGGTGGCTGTTATTATAAGATACAGTCAATATGATAAATTTGCAATCAAATTCAGTGTTGAAGTTCTTTATTGTATCTCTTTTTTGGGGGGTATAAGAAAATTATTTTATTTTACTTTTTAAAATGTTTTATTGAAGTATAGTTGATTTACAATGTTGTGTTAATTTCTGGTGTACAGCAAAGTCATTCAGTTGTGTGTGTGTGTGTGTGTGTGTGTGTGTGTGTGTGTGTGTATTCTTTTCCATTATGGTTTATCACAGGATGAATATAGTTCCCTGTGCTCTACAATAGGACCTTGTTGTTTATCCATACTATATATGCTAGTTTGCATGTATCTCTTAATTATTAAAATAAGCTATACCAGTAGATAAAACATGTAGAATAAAGGGAAAAAAGTCACCCCTGATAATTTCCAGCCACCTGGATATTTCCAGTATCTTTTCATATGCCTCTGAGTTTCTTGTTTTTAAGAACATAGTTGAGGTCACTATGGCACAGAAACAATTTTCTGTCCTTCTTATTTCATTTCACATGATTCTACAAGTGGCTTTCCTAGAGCTGCATAATCTTCTTAGCATCATGTGAATGAATGACCAATACCCCTTAGAGTAGATATCCTCCCAAATCATGTAATAATTCCCTATGGTAGGACATTCCATTGTTTTTAATTTCTCACGATTATTTAAAAACTACTACAATAAACATTTTTATGTACATAGTTTTTTTCCATGCTTTGAGGTGAGATTGCCATAAGTATAATTACTGAGTCAATGAGTATTTCATACATCTTAATGGTTATTTATGGTTCTAAGGAGAGGATGTCTTAATTTTCTCTATTTAAAATTTGTGGTAATAATAGCAATAGGTATCATAGATCATACATGTGTAATAACTGTCTTCTGTGCAATATACATTTCTTCAGTCCTTTCTGAGACTGGATTCAGATATAAATGGATGGATCTGATCTAGCGCTGTAATGGAACTAGGAGGTCATTTAATAAAATCCCCTTATTTACCTGGGCAGTGTGGTATAGTGGAAAGAACATTTGATCCACAGTCTGAGGACCTGAATTGGAGTCCCTGCCAATCTCATGTGAGCTATTTCCCTTGGTCTCCCTGAACGTGGTGTTCTTGTTTTTTGAGTACCTGTCAAGTGCTAAGTAAGATATAGAATCTCTTTACCCGCCACAGCTCTGTACGATCAACACTGCTGACACTGTTTCACAGCAGAGGTTTAATAACTTTGCTGCAGTCATACAAGTTGTCTGTTTGAAATGAGAGTCAAACCCCTATCTGTCAGATTCCACAGAGTGTATCATGTCACCACTGTAAGATCTTTACCCATCCATTGCTCGTGAAAATAAGGTAGTGGGACACTGTGGTTAGAAGCAGTGATTTGGAATCGGACAGACCTTGGTTCATATTCCAGCCTTTTATCCAACCATTCATCACCAGTGACCTCACGCAAGTTACTTACATTTTCTGAGCCTCAGTTCCCTCACCTGTAAAATGACGACAAATAGTAGTTTCCTTCTGTGGGTGTGGTGTGAATTAAATGAGGAGGTTCACATAAAGTACCTAATTCACTGACTAATACATAGCCAGAGCTCCATAAATGGCTGTTGTTTTATTGTTGCTGCTCTTACTGTTGTGCTTGTGAAAGACGTTGATATTGTGTTTGTTGCTGTGGTGTCGGAACACGTTACCAGGCATGTCTCAAAAGTGAAGCCTGATTTGAAGTCATCCCATCCCATTGTCTAAAAAGTGTTCAGTATTTTCTTGAGAAATCACTTGGGATTTGGGGAGATAAAAGTAAGCAAAAGGACATCACAGCACCATAATCATGAGAGGCGGCAGCTCACCACAGTACGTTCTACAGAAGTGGTTCTCAAACTTCCCATCTCAAGGCCTTTTTACACGCTTAAAAATAATCATGGGTTCTAAAGCGTTTCGTTTATGTTACATTTATCAATGTTTATTATATGGGAAATTAAAACTGAAAAATGTTCAAAATATTTTCTTATTGATGCAGTTAAAATAACAATTGTAAGAATTTGTTAACATAAATAAAATTTCATATTAAAGAAAACATATTTCTCAAACCAAAAACTCTTAGAAGTAGGTAGGAAAAGTGGCAGAAATTCACATTTTAGCAAATCTCTAATATCAGGCTTAATAGAAAATGGTTGGATTCTCCTATCTGCTTCTGCAATTAAAATGTTGCCATACTACATATTATGTAGCCTCTGGAAAACCTCACTATATGCTCGTGAATGTCTTAAACTAATAGAATAGTTTCGACCCCATGGACCTCCTGAAAGAGTCTCAAGGTGCCTCAGGGGTTTGTGGCACACACTTCGAGAGCCACTGCTCTATAGCATATTGGTTCCAGAATCAGACTGCCCTATGTTCAAAACCCAGCTCCACTCTCTGCCAGCTGGGAACCCTGAGCAAGTTAACTTACCTCTCTAGATCTCCTCTTTCTAGAGAGGTAGAAAAATAAAGTCTCATGGCTGGTATAAACTTCCTGAGAAATAACACTAGCCTTCTCTTTCCCCTCATTTCTGGATAATAGGCCTAAATGTGACCGTGAATGCCAGCTTTATCAATTCGGAAGGTATGATTTATAAGTCCAGTGACTGCCGGAGTAGCACCTGTGAAGGCCTCGACCTACTCAGGACGATTTCAGTGAGTACCTGCCTTCGCAGAGTCAGCTCACACCCTCCTGCCTCAGGAGGGCCGCAGCGTGAGCTCGGGCACTGGCCCGCCAGGATCTCTCACATCGTCTCCAGCTATGCAGCTGAGTGATTTGGGGACCAGGTGCTCCGACTGTATCCCCATCTATTTCCCAAGTGATAGGCACCCTCCAGGAATCTAGGAAAGCGGGGAGAACCTTAGCTATGTTCTGTCTGTACACGTTCAGTGGTATGGAGGGGAATTATTTTGTTTTCAGCTGTTTTTAGAACTTTTAACAAATCTAAATGTTGGTATTAACTGGTTTGCCTTCGTGTCCCTCAAGAAAAATCTGAGGTGCCCCATTAAAAAATATACTCTAAAGCCTTACACCAGACACCTGTTACAGTCATCACCATATGCACGGTCGCAGGTTTATTGCTTAAGGGCTGAATCTGAAACCTAACTTTAAAGTAGTAACTGTAATGTCAATCCGTAGAAATGGGAAGACAGAGATTCTTGCCTAGTTCCTCCTGCCAACTCCATCCCCAACCAGAGCTTTCTGGAACTGAAGAGTAGTCCAAGCTCTCTAGAGGCAGGTAGGGTGTGAGATGTCCCTTTGGTACAGAGACCTAAGGGAAGGCCGTCCAGGAAGCTGAGCACTGGGCACAGATCCATGGCTCTGAAGCTCTCATCAGTAACATCACATCGACCAGATTGGCCGCACTCCTGTCAGGAAGTGGTCATTCTTTTTTTGCGGTACGCGGGCCTCTCACTGTTGTGGCCTCTCCCGTTGCGGAGCACAGGCTCCGGACGCGCAGGCTCAGCGGCCATGGCTCACGGGCCCAGCCGCCCTGCGGCATGTGGGATCTTCCCGGACCGGGGCACGAACCCGCGTCCCCTGCACCGGCAGGCGGACTCTCAACCACTGCACCACCAGGGGAGCCCAGGAAGTGGTCATTCTTGATCATGGGAGGGCAAGGAGCGAGCAAGGGGAGTTTAATAAACAGGTGTGCCTCATCCCTGTCTCCGGAGGTGGGAGGTCCCACCTCATTCTCCAACACCAACAACAGAATGCTCCTAATCAGTTTCCCCTTGAGAAAGAGTGGAATTAAGATCTATAGTCTCTCACCCGGCCACACTGCATTTTGTTCTCTCCAGCCCCGCTTTGTAGCTCTCCCTAAACCCGAAACTTGCCCTGTCCTTGCATAGCACCTCCAAATCTAGCGTCTTCACCCCTTGACCTACAGATAACTGCTAATGTGACAGTCTGCCAGTCCCTCTCCCACCACTGGACATCCTCCTCTTGATAGAGTCCAGGGTAACGTCAGTCAGCTCACCTTCAGTGGGATGCCCTTCCCTCCATCCGCAGCCTCTCCCCTCTTGGACCCCTTTATCCCTCGGCTGGCCCTCGCCCAGCCCAAGGCATGCACGCGGCTCCTTTCTGCTCTACATTCTAACATCTCGAGAGGCCCGCTTTCTAGCCTTCTGGGAGCCTTCCCCTTGCTGGTTCTTTCCTGTGCATTGATTCACAGTTTTAGTTTTAGGAATTGGTTGTTATTTTTTTCTCCTACAGGGGACCAAACAGATGGGATGTGTCCTCATGGGGCCCACGTGTACCTATTCCACCTTCCAGATGTAGTAAGTAGTCTGGTTTGTTGTTTTCATGCCCCTGTGAATTGAAGTCAGGACATCATATCAAGATTTAACTGATGTATCAAACAGCAGTCTACTCAGGGCAATACAATTGAGGGTGCCAGGGCCCTCGTATGTTACAGTCTCTCTATAACTGTCATTCCCTCATCCGGGTAACTCTGCCTTTGCTCAGTGTGGGGTGGATGACAGTAGATATTCCACTTCTGTTACTAACATCTGAGCTTGAAAAGCAAAAAGGTAGAGGTGAAAAGTTAGACTCCAGGCAGGACACAGGGAAGATAGTGAACTTAGATATTTTGAGAGTTGAATAAAGGAAATCTTCCCAGAAGTATGGGCAGAATGTGCCCAAACACAAAGGAAAGTGCAGCACCCTAGGGCATTAACAGGGCTCCGTTCCCTCCTTAGGGCTGTAAGAATAGGGAAGGTAGCAGGGTTCTTATTTCAAAGCACTATTTGAGGATTATATATATAACATACTAAAGTACTTTGCACAGTGCCCTTATCAGCTTAGAAAAAAAAGAAAAAGCTTCCACTGTATTTAGAGTGAAAATACTTCCTGGCTTTGGGAAAATCGCCCTCATCCCTTTCGATCATTTCACTCGGCATAATTCTCCTCACTGCAAAACACTTTGTTCCGCCAGATCACCTCTCCCCCAATCCAAATCCCTCTCACAGGCCTTTCTTTCCCCTTTTTCATCTCCCCGTGAATCAAGGATCACCCTTTGTCTACACAGAGAAAACTATGCTGAAGGAACACTTGCAATAGGTTTTGAAGGGTAGACATTAGACTTCTGAAATTTCTGTTGCAAAGTCTGCTTCTCACACCTCCCACCCAGCTGTATAAACAGACTCAGACGTTCAAACCCACACAGACCATAGACACCCCACAGAAGCACATTTGACCTCATCTTCTGTACTGAAGTGCAGACGAATACAGAATCTTATCTTCCTTGTGCTCATTCCAGCTGTCATCTTACCTGACCATTTACTGATATTGCTGGCGAGTGTGCCCAGAAGGAAAGGAGAAGTAGGACATTGATTCACCACTTATGAGGAACTTCCATGTGCAAAGACGCATTTTTGTTGTGTCAGAGCGGAGACAATTAATAGAGAAGGTGACGAGGACACTGGTGACCAATGCAAGGCAGAGTGGAACAGGTTCCCTTAGAGAAGTACAAGCAAGGTGCTGTGGAGGCACAGAGGGAATGGTCCCTGTGGTTGGGAGAATTAAGCTTCAAGAGGAGAAAGACTTCATGAAGGAGATGGTATATGAGTTGAGTGTTGAAGAATGGGTTAAATTGTAATGGGTAGAGGTGATGGGATCAGCATCCCAGCCAGCAGAGGGAGAAGCATATGTGAAAGCAAAGCATCAGGGAAGTGTAGAAAATTTGTGCAAGTCTGTATTAACTGGAGGGAAAGAGATGTATAGGGGAGTAGTAGAGAGAAAACTAGGAAAATTAGACAGGGCCGTATTTGGGTGGCCATGAGTTCTAAGTGAGGGAAGGGTTTTTAATTAGATTTGCATCAGAAACCACTAAAACAGCAGGGAAGTACCATCAGAAGCAGCTCAACTTTGGGGAAGAATAATTGGAAACAGTGTAGAGGAAAGGCTGGAGCCCACCAGGAGAGACTGAGGACAGGAAAATCAGGGGAGGAAGAGATCCTGAACTAGTGAGGAAGCAGTTGACTTGGAATAGGAGGATCGCCTTAAAGATATTTAAAAGTAGAATCAATAGCATTTGATAACTGATCGGATACTGGAGTGTGGGACGAAAAGTAGTTGTTGAAAAGGCTTTGAGATATCAAAACGCTAAAAGAAATGGGAAAATCAGGATAAGGAACAGTTCTGAGAAACAAAACTAAGAGACAAATTTAACTGTGGCCGTGAGGAGTTTGAAATGCAAGCAGGACACCCAAGTGAAACCTTTCAGTGGAGCACCGAAGATGGAAGGGGAGGTCATTTTCCTCCCTTTATCAAATACATCTTAAGCATCTACACATAAAGCAGGCAGACCGGAAATGCTGCGGTGAACAAGCTGGGTGTGATTCCACCTTCGTGGCACTTGCAGTCTGGTGGAGGAGACAGGTATTCAACAGGTTCTCACCCATGATTCCTGGTCTTAGTTATCGAGGAAAGCTCTCCTGATGGATAAAGAGATGTTTAATTAAGGACCTGATGGATGAGTAAGTATCAGCCAGGCAAAGACAGAGGGGAGCAGCATTTCTGGCATCTGTAAAGACCCTGGTAGAAAATAAAGCTTACTATGCTCAAGGGACCACAAGCAGACTCGTGGGCCAAGCAGCGGAAGGAAAACAGTAAGGTCCTCAGGTGATGTCTGTCTCAAAGGCCGTCCGTAGAAGAGCTAGCAATAAGGCAATGCATGGAGGGAAGCTGCAGAGGGCATCTTCTGGGCTTTACAACATTTGTAGTAGCTATGGTGGCCCATTTTCTATTTTTTCTCTGCCCTACTCCCCGAAGTCCATATGTCCTAGCCTAGATGTTAGGACAACCCAATGACAACTCATTTTAGAATAAATCGAAGTGACCAAGCCACACATACAAGAAGACACCCAGAGTATGCGTAGAACATAGCATACGTTCAGTAAATATTGTTTTAGATTCACCTGTGAGGGACAGACCTATACCCATGGAACACCTGCTTGAGTGACCCTGTTTCATTTTTGTTATTTATACCCACACGCTGAAACAGCTTAAAGAGGGACCTTATTTGTACTACTTAGGTTGTTAATCCTGATACTGGTTTCTCTCTCACCCCTTGGCATAGCCTTGACACAGATTTGAAGTATCCCATGATTTCAGCTGGAAGTTTTGGATTGTCGTGTGACTACAAAGAAACTTTAACCAGGCTGATGTCTCCAGCTAGGAAGTTGACGTACTTCTTGGTTGACTTTTGGAAGGTCAATTATTTTCCATTCAAAACTTTTTCCTGGAACAGTACCTATGTTTTCAAGAATGGTACCGAGTCTGAGGACTGTTTCTGGTAAGCAGGACCATTAATGTCCTTCTGGCGCTTAGCAGGGAGAGAAGCCATAAACTCTCAGCAGGCCACTAGTTATTATCAGACATGCCTTCCATGAATAGTAGCATTGGGAATGGAAACCAGCCCACTTTCTTACACACAAGTGGTACATAGCTTACATTAATTGATTTCATCCTTAAGCTGTAGATATATTTAGATAAGGCTGTTTGTTACTCCTGTTTGAACTAGGTATATTAAGCATAGCTCTCTGAAGTAGATACCCATTAACTTTAGGTCAAATTGAAATTTCACTTGGAAGTGTACAACACTTCACTGATTCCATGATCTAAATCAGTAGCAACAGGTAAAAATGTCTGTTTTTTTTTTTTAACAGCAACTTTCTTTGAGTCCTTACTTTTTGCCAAACATTGCACTAAGCACTTTCTTTTTTTTTTTTGGTTTGAAGCCATTTTTTTTTTTTATTGGAGTAAAATTGCTTTACAGTGTTGTGTTAGTTTCTGCTGTACAACAAAGTGAATCAGCTATATGCATATCTATATCCCCTCCCTTTTGGACCTCCCTCCCACCTAGATCATCACAGAGCACAGAGCTGAGTTCCCTGTGCTATACAGCAGGTTCCCACTGGCTATCCGTTTTACATATGGTAGAGTATTTATGTCAAACCTAATCTCCCAATTCGTCCCACCCACCTCTTTCCCCACTGCGTCAACATGTCCGTTCTCTACATCTACGTCTCTCTTTTTAAAAGAATTTTTATTGGAGTAAAGTATAGCTGATTTACAATGTTGTGTTAGTTTTGCTGTACAGCAAATGAAAAATGTCTTTTCAAGAACATGTTTTAAAAGTTACCTAATATTTATTTCCTAAAAGGAGTGCATGGAGTTATTCAAGGTGGCCACAATTTTCTTCCTGACCTCTACCCAAATTGTTATTAACTACTAGAATGTAGTGGTGTAAGAAGGAGAGTCTGATGTTGAGGCTGACAGTCTTAGGATATGAGGTCTAAGATTCAATTGAATAATGAACGTTTATTCTATAGGATGTGCAGCTAATGTTTCATATTAATAAAAAGGAATCATATGGAGTGTGTTATATGTCTTGAGAACTCTGAATAAATGTTTTTTAAACATATTTTCAAAAAGTTGCATTTTCTCTTAGAGTTTTTTAGTTAACAGTGATCTGATTTATTTTGTTGTCTCAGTGTGATTGACATAAAGTGTCTATGTAATCGTAAATACGTTGACTAAATTTTTTTCTAATTCTTCCCAAATGGCATAAGTGACCTAGCAATAAATATTTATATATTGTAGATTTATTATTTATTTATTTCTTGGCTGCGTCGGATCTTAGTTGCGGCACGCAGGCTGTAGTTGAGGCGTGCAAGCTCAGTAGTTGTGACACGCGGACTTAGTTGCCCCAGCATTTGGGATCTTCGTTCCCTGACCAGAGATCACACCCACGTGCCCTGCATTGTAAGGTGGATTCTTTACTACTCGACCACCAGGGAAGTCCCAATAAATATATTTTCATGAAGATAAACCCTCTAAAGAAAAGAGAACAAGTACTCTGATCTCCATTTTACAGATAAGGAGAAGGGAAACGAGAAGTAAATGCTGTCATATTACCGTGCAACATATGATAGCAGAGAATGTGCATTCTGCCTGTCCTACACAAGTTAGAAATCATTTCTCTCACAGCTTTTCAGAGGAGTAAGAGTGGTGGGGAGAGCAGGATCTTGGGTACCATTGCTAAAATAAAATCACAAAGCTCACACAACTCCAGCAAAGGTGGCAGAAAGAATCTCTGGAAGGAGTCTGCAGTAGCTCTCCACCAAAGCATCCAGAGGACCAAAACAGGGTACCCCTGGGAACACACAAGAATCAGCCCTAAGGCAGCACCCTAGAAAGTTTGGGGTGAACTTAGAGCACACAAAAGTCCTTTCCACACAGTAGGAGAAATTACTCCTATCAACTCTGAATTTTTGTACTATAGATTCACAAGTTTCCATTTATCTGTGATAATGGGGCAAGCAGAATAGTCTTCCTTCAGCAAATAACAAGAAGCCATTATAAGGGATTTGCCAAATGTCTACTATCTGTATATATACACGAAGATTCCCTAAAACTTTCCCTAAATTAGATGTCCGTAGTCCTAACCATTGGTATCACGCTGTGTATTGTCTATTGTGTAGAAATGAATTTTAGGTGAACAAGTCCCTGGACAGATCTGTAAACAGTGAGCAAACAACATGGAAAGCCATGAAGAAACTAAGCTGATTTCTTAGAGTTTCTCTTTTTTTCTGTTCTAGGTACCTCAATGCTCTGGAGGCTGGAGTTTCCTATTTTTCTCAGAACCTTAAATTCAAGGGGACGCTGAGAAGGGATGACGAGTTTCAGCGTATCTTAATGGGCCAGGACAGGGAAAGCAATGGTAAGAAGACATGAAGATAATTTTTGGCCAGCTACGTCCACACAACCACCACCTCCCTATGAGTCATTTTGACAAATCTACCACCACAGAGCTATCATCGTTACTGTATATTTTGTGTATATTTGCAGAGATCTGTAGCTGTGGGCACCTCCATTATACTGTTCCTTTTGCTGATTAAAACCTTATCCTCTGAGCAAAATTAGCAGAGTAATGTTGAGCAAATATATTAACATTATGAAAGTAATGATGATGTTAAAATCCAGCTTTTATAAGCCAAAAATGTTATCACGATCCACTATTAGTAAACTGCTTTTTAAGTTCACCACAATCTAATATATTGTTGGATTTGTGACGAATTCTCAAATATTCTGAACCCTCGTCCCCTGGTGACCAAGAGGATGTATTTATTGATATGTAGCCTTAAGCAAAATTACCAGTTAGGCAAGGATTGTCTCACTTTGCTTTACTCTGTCGGTATTTTACCTGCCTAATGATCTCTCAGTTATAGGCCAAGTGTGAAAGGCCAATGGGATATTGGTGATTTATTTCACTTTCCACAGAATTCTTTTTGCAAATAAGAATATATCAGGAGCAAAGGAATCAACTGTGGAATTTTCTACGAGGAAATGTTCTTGCTTGTCAGGATTTCCTGGTATCGCTTGAAGTATCATTTGCTGTTATAATTAAGCGTTTGCCATATTAAGAGCCTACCATATGCAAAACGTTAACCAGGCTATGGGGAACAAGAAGTATCAGATGATTCATGTCATAAAGTGTTTACGGTTCAACTGGACAACACAGTGTGTGAACAGATCTAATGAAGTGTCTGCCAGCTTATTCATCTTACTCATCAATCCATGCATTTGGGAAATCTGGCTGCAGTGGATAGGAGAGCTTAGAGAATCAGACTGGAACTCGATCACTGAAATCACTTTCTGAGCTAAGAAGCTGCGACCAAAACCCAAGGAAAGGTGCTTAGGAAGACTTCATCAGTTCTCACATTAATTTATATCTTTTCCAGCTCCTTTACAAGTGGCAGTGCCTTTCACTTACCACTGAAAATAGCTTCTATAACTACTCCAGCCTCGTGTAATGGAATAAGCACGAAGCCAGACTCCAATACTTGACTATCAGAATTATTCATCCACCGGTTTTTTTTATCTCATTGACATTTTAGCTACAGTCTCCTTAAATCAGTAAAATTAAGGGCAAGGACTAGATGATTCTTTTTAAGATCCCATGCAGTTCTCCTCTGCTTCTATGACTGTAAATGAAAAATAAAAGGAGGGGGGGAGTAAATTGGAGGAACTGGTGTTAATCTTAAAACACGAATGTAGCATGGACTTACTGGGTTCACATTCAGGCCCCCGGTTCCCTTCCTGCTTGGGAGTAGACTATTGTATATTTTTCTCCCTGTCTTGCTCTCTCTCCTGCAGTGATTGTTATGTGTGGTACACCAAACACCGTCAACATCCTCAAGGGTGACCGAGCAGTGGCTGAAGACACTGTCATTATTCTAGTGGATTTATTCAAGTAGGTATAATGTTTGGAAGAACTCTCCTCCTTTCAGAAAGGGAATACTCTAAGGATTTCTGGAAGATATTCTCTTTTCTCACGTTTTGCACAGCCTAAAATGGGATTCTGTATGAAGATAATACTTTAACCAGTGTTTCATTTCTTCTTTATCACACCCTTATTCTTATTTAATTAATTATAGCTTTAGCAGAGATGTATACCTTTGACATCCCTGTCATGTCAAATACAAAAGTTTTATGAAATCCCCATTAAACCCGCATGCTCATTCAACAAAGATCCTGGTCTTCAGCCTGATTTTAAGGTGTTTTTTTTCCAGGCAGTAATAAATCAACTAATATCCCAATCATATTTCTGAGAACGTGGGCCCTATCTATGCCTTCAATTGCTAATGGCCTTTGGTCCTAGATTATTTTTCCTTCAGCCACCTTCGGTAAGAGAAAAATTCCTGTTAAGTGAATTTGATTTACACAGTTATTCTTTGCCCTCTGTGGTATAGTCATTGGGTGGTGATCTTTTCCTCTGCACTTATCTGGAACTAAGGGGAGAAAATTCTGGAGAACAGAAACTACCTTTTATCACATTCCCTCTTTTCACTACTCATTTTCTAACATGGTTGGAGACCCCACAAACAAACTGTGCAAAGGTAATATCTGAGTCAGATGAGGCTTAAAAAAGGTGTTGCTGGTACACCTGTGTCCCTTGCCCCATCAGCTAGCTCATATGACTTCACTTATCTGATTGGATCATTAACCATTCCCTGTCCGTATTCAGACCAGAAGCTATTCCTGCACTATATCATATTTGCCTAGTCATTTCACCCACAGTAAATGCACTTGTCCCAGTATTGAGAAAAATGAAGCATAGGAAGTGCAGGCCTATCTTGTTCACAAAGATAAGCTAGTCAACGGAGCCTTTTAGCTGCAGAATACGAAAAAGAGGGGAAAATGATCAACATTTTATTCCTACAGCCACATTGATAGCTGCTTTCAATAGCTGCTTTGCCCTCTGGAAGGAGGCCTCAATGTAACCAGGCTGGTGTAATTTTATTTTTAGCAAATCCTCAATCAACTGCCGAAGTGTTGGCATTCTTTTGTCACTATTCCCTAAGGACCTCTGGGTCTGTTTCGGAATGCTCATGAGATAGATTCATCTGAAACTAGACATAACTTGGGTTCAAATTCTAACTCTGACATTTCTGGTTCATTTGCCTCTTGGGTATTACTTAGTATATCTTGAGATTCTCATTTGTAAAGTGAGAATAAAAATGCCTACTTGATAAGGATGCTTTTAGGATTAGATGTGACAATATGTGCAAACTATTCAACACAGTCCTCTGTACGTAGATGTGTTCACCTACTGTTTGCCTATTAAATGATGGTCATCCTAGTTACAGCGGTTCAAGCTTGTCAGGTTATTTGCATATTAAAACATTAAAATGATTAGGAAGCTTGGGACCCATATGATTGGCAGTGCCATCCCAGACGGTATCGAGGGTCCACAGTGTACCAGATACTGTCTAGGAGTCGGGGATACAAGGACCGATAATCTAATGTCAAGAAGCTTACAGTGTTAGAGAAAATGCTTAGTCTTTTCATGCTTATGTTTCACCATCTGGAAAGTAAATTTAATTCATAAAATTTCTCTCTATCCTATCCCTAAATCTCTAAAGTGTTATGAGCACTTAAGGAAAAGAAAGTTTCCAGGTATAAGCCAAGAGTCATTAAGCCTTGAAAAGAAGCTTATGTGCCCAGAGCCCCTAAGAAAGCTTCCTCAAATAAGTGTCTGTGTTCTGATCTTCCTTTCCATTTGTGTATGTTAACCGCAGCTGCCTAATTTCTGCTATTCAAGGTAGCAGGTGTAGAAGAAACTTATCTGGGAAAAGTAGAACATTTTGCAGGAAAAAGATGTTTTAAACTATTTCAAGCCTGCTGTATGAATTTTAGAAGCTCCATTTCTATTTTTGGAGGAATCTAATTTTCATGAGAAACTTGTACTTTTTATTCCAGTGACCACTACTTCATGGACAATGTTACAGCCCCCGACTATATGAAAAATGTTCTTGTTCTGACACTGCCTCCTGAAAATCCTGTCTCAAATAGCTCTTTCTCCAAGAATTTATCACTGGTAAGCTTCATATACATATATATATATATATATATTTTTTTTTTTTTTTTTTTGGCAAGGGTAAAGTATCATTCTTCCATTTGGGACCCCAATTCTAAAATAAGCAATTCGTTTTTTTTCACTTGTTCCAATTCACTCAACAAATGTTAACTGAGGCCAATAGCAGGATTCCTGCTACTAAAACTGTTACTATAGGTCACTGTGCTAGGCTCTAGATCAACACCACAGTGCACACTGCTGTAACATCAGAACAGAAATGACAGTGTGGGAAGATCAGAAGAAGCCCTGCTAACGTAGGGGAGGTAGAAATTAAACAATGAAAGATAAATGAAGTCCCCTACATCTTAAAGCAACTTTCTGCTGGCCCTGATATCACAGTTCTACCTCTAGAGATACATATTCCTAGGTTAAGACATTGTCCTTTTTTTTTTTAAATTAGGTTGGCCATTGTTCAGATTTGTCCAGGCGAGGCCTGGTTTATTCCTCTTATCCCAGCATCCCATCTGGTTTAGCATTTGTCCCAGAAAAAGAACCTCCAATTGGACATTAAATCCTTAATGTCTCAGGACTTCCCTGGTGGTCCAGTGGTAAAGAATCCGCCTTCCAATGCTGGGAACGCGGGTTTGATCCCTGGTCAGGGAACTAAAATCCCACATGCCGCGGGGCAACTAAGCCCACACGCCACAACTACTGAGCTCACATGCCTCAACTAGAGAGTCCGTGTGCCCACGTGCCACAAAAACTGCAGACAGAGCCCATGTGCTCTAGAGCCCACACGCCACAACTAGAGAGAGAAAGCCCGAATGCCACAACTAGAGAGAAGCCCACACGCCGCAAAGAAGACCAGACACAGTGGAAGAAAATAAAGAAATTTAAAAAAATATATTTTAAAAAATCATTAATGTCTCAATTAAATGCAAGACCCCTGCCTCTAATACCACTTTGGGTTTTATCAGTCACTGCACCTTAACGTGACTAAATTCATCGGATGTTTTCTGCCCTCAGACACAGTTGAGAGCAGGTTTGGAGAGGGAAGTGGAGGGGCAGTCTGTCCTGAGGACCCTGAACAACTTTGGGATGACAAGGCCCAAAGAGCAGTGAGGAAAGTTGGGGACCTTTGAGAGAATCACAGTTTTGCCTAGACTAGCAGTTCTAAGCCCTGTGTTTTGCAACCCTGCCAAAATTAGGGGCTGCAACCCCTTTGGGGGCTGGGTCTTAACTGATTCTTTTCATGTCATGAAAGGATGATTTCAGCAAAAGACACTGAAACCAATGAGAAGTGTTTTAGTTTTTCCTTTTTATATTTTCTAGCAAATATACTTCTGGGTCTAGTAGTATTCACATATCATTTGCACAGCTTCTAGGCTCTGGCAAAAGTCTGATTCTTCACAGGTGGGAGTTCCAAAGTGTCTGAGCCGACAGAACTCACGTGGTCTCGGGGGGGCACAGAACTTTTCATCCATAGCCCATCTCTGTGAAGACAACCACACAACTGTTGCAAAGGCAGAGGAGTTCTGACCCCCTTCTTACGTTTCCCAGGGCAGACCTTTGTGGCTTTAACTAACACCCAATCAGGACTATCTCCAAAGCAAATTCAATGGTATCACCCAATCAAAACTCTTCCCACCCCATCAGGATACTCAAAGGCAGTGGGGTTGTTTTTGTTGCTGTTCTCTTTTCCTCTTAAATGAAAGCGTTATTTCTATATAAAACCTTACAGGAATCGAAAATGCTGTATGTTGTCCTTCCTGGTCAAAGTAAAATATTTTCTCATCATGGGAAGGAGGAAGCACAGCTGCTTTTAGATACTTCCCTAAAGGCAGGGTATGCAGTTTATTGATCCCAAGAGAAGACAGAATTGTCACGTGGGGATGATAAAGAGCCCTGGTCCAAGAAAAGTTTTTCCAAAACTTCCTTTAATACCACCCCTACAATTCCCCTAATATTCCTTTACCTTTCCAGTTACCCTGCTGACCCCAAGAATGTGTTTCTCCAGGTTCAAGACCAGAATCTTTTTTTTTTTCTTGGAACTCATTTTAAGATTTTCCTTTCTCATTCAGACAAATGATTTCGCTGCTGCCTACTTTAATGGAGTCTTGCTCTTTGGACACATGTTGAAGATATTTCTTGAAAATGGAGAAGAAGTTACCACCCCTAAATTTGCTCATGCTTTCAGGAACGTCACTTTTGAAGGTACCGGTTTCCTAGGAGCAAACAACACTTACCTAACAGTTTCTAGAGGAATCTGATGAAATATGGGCCCTATGGGCAGACTTTGGGAAGCAAAGAGAGGGTGTGGCAATAAATGGATCAACAGCTAAATACCTTTTAACTTAATTGGAGGCAAACATAATTGCATAAACCTCGGGGATGCTATAATCTATAACTAGACCCCAGTTTATGCTTCAGAACTTGAGAATCTTTGGATATCAAAGAAAGAGCAGGTAGCTCAGGCCCGGTACTTATGAACAAGCTCATCACAGGGCATTTCGGGCAGTGATGTCCTGACTCTGCTTAGAGACCAGCAAGAAGAGAAGTAGCTGCAGTTTAATTTTCGTCCTTCCATATCTCCCTTTCTGTCCTTTCACCATTGAGTATGATGTTTGCTGTGGGTTTTTCATATATGGCTTTTATTATGTTGAGGTAGTTTCCTTCTGTTCCTAGTGTGCTGAGTGTTTTATCATGAAAGTATTGAATTTTGTAAAATGCTTTTTCTGCATCAATTCATATGATCGTGTGGTTTTTTTCTTCATTCTCTTGTAGTGTATTATATTGATTAATTTTTATATGTTGACCCATCCTTGCATTTCAGGAATTAATCTTATTTTGTCATGTTGTATTCTCCTTTGAATATGCTATTGAATTCTGTTTACAAATATTTTGCTGAGGATTTTTTAGATCAGTGTTCATAAGGGATATTGGTGTGTAGTTTTCTTTTCTTTTGGTGTCATGGTCTGGCTTTGGTATCAGAGTAATTCTGGCCTCATAGAATAAGTTAGGCAGTGTTTCTCTCTCTTCAGGTTTTTGGAAAAGTTTGAGAAGGATTGGTGTTAATTATTTTTTTAATGTTTGGTAGAATTCACTGGTAAAGTCATTAGGTTCAGGGCCCTTTCTTAGGGGGTAGAGGGTCTGGAGATTTTTGACTACTGATTCAGTCTCCTTACTAGTTATCGGTCTATTCAGATTTTCTGTTTCTTCATGGTTTTGTTTTGGTAGGTTTTGTGTTTCTAGAAATTTGTTCATTTCAACTAGGTTATCAAATTTTTTGGCATACAGTTGCTCATGGTACTGCCTTATATTCCTTTTTATTTCCTTAGAATTGGTTGTAATGTCTCCACTTTCGTTTATGATTTTAGTAATTCAAGTCTTCTCCTTTTTTCCTTATTCTATCTGGCTAAAGGTTTGTCAATTTTGTTGAACTTTTTGAAGAACCGACTTTTGGTTTCAATTGATTTCCTCAATTGATTTTCTATTCTGTATTTCATTTATCTCTGCTCTAATCTTTACAACTTCCTTCCTCTGCTAGCTTTGGGTTTAATTTGTTCTTCTTTAACTAGTTCCTTAAGTTGTAAAGTTAGGGTGTTGATTTGAGACCTTTGTTGTTTTTTAATGTAAGCATTTATAGTTATAAATTTCCCCTTAGCACTGCTTTCACTGTGTGTGCCCCTTAAGTTTTGGTGTGTTGTATTTTTATATTCATCTATCTCTAGGTCTTAAAATTTTTCCCTTGTAATTTCTTTTTTTTTTTTTTTGTAATTTCTTCTTTGATCCATTGATTAAGTGTGTGCTGTTTAATTTCCACAAATTGGCGAATTTTTCAGTTTTCCTTATGTTATTGATTTCTAACTTCAGCTCATTGTGGTCAGAGAAGATACTTTGTATGATATCTATCTTTTAAATTTTACTGAGACTTAATTTGTTGTTTAACATATGGTCTATTCTGGAAAATGTCCTACAGGCACTTGAGAAAAATGTGCATTCTGCTGTTGGGTAGAATGTTCTGTATTTGTCTCTTATATCTAGTTGGTTTATCATTTTGTTCAAGTCCTCTGTTTCCTTACTTATCTTCTGTCTTGTTATTCTATCCATTAGTGAAAGTGGAGAGTCCACTACACTGTCCATCTCTCTCTCTTTTTTTTTTTTGGCTGTGCTGGGTCTTTTTGCTGCGCACGGGCGTTCTCTAGTTGTGGCGAGCAGGGGCTACTCTTCGTTGCAGTGTGTGAGCTTCTCATTGTGGTGGCTTCTCTTGTTGTGGAGCACAGACTCTAGGCACGTGGACTCTAGAGTGCAGTTTTGGTAGTTGTGGTGCACGGACTTTGTTGCTCCACAGTGTGTGGTATCTTCCTGGACCAGGGCTCAAACCCATGTCCCCTGCAGTGGCAGGCGGATTCTTAACCACTGCGCCACCAGGGAAGCCCTGTTCATCTCTTAAGTCATGTAGAAAACAAAAAGTGGAGTACCACGTTGTTCTTACAATAACACTAGATTTTATAATTGCTTGTGTATTTACGTTTACTGAGATCTTCATTTCCTCACATGGCTTCAAGTTACTGTCTACTGTTCTTTCATTTTAACTTGCCGGACTCCCTTGAACATTTCTTGCAGGGCAGGTCTAGTGGTAGGTAACAAACCCTCTCAACTTCTATCTTAGAATGTCTTACTTTCCTTTCACTTTGAAGGACAGCTTTGTTGAATAAAGCGTTCTCGATTGACGGTTTTTTCTTTTAGCATTTTGAATATATCAGCCCACTGCCTTCTGGCCTTCAAAGTTTATAATGAGAAATCTGCTTATAAATCTTATTGAACATCTCTTATATGTGATGAATCACTTCTCTCTTGCTGCTTTCAAAATTCTATGTCTTTGGCTTTTGACAGTTTGATTATAATGTGCCTTGGCATGGATTTCTTTGAATTCATCCTACTTGGCATTTATTGAGCTTCTCGGATGTTTATATTCATGTGTTTCATCAAATTTTGGAAGTTTTCAGCCATTATTTTTTTAAATAGTCTCTTTACCCGTTTTTCTGTCTTCTCCTTCTGGGACTTCCACAATGCATGTATTGGTCTGCTTGCTGGTGCCCCACAGGTCCCTTACACTCTGTTCACTTCTTTTCAATCCTTTTTATTTCTGTTCCTCAGATTTGATAATTTCCATTGTCCTATATTCAAGTTCACTGATTCTTTCTTCTGCATGCTTAAATATGCCTTTGATCCCTCTAGTGAATTTTTTATTTCAGTTACTGTACTTTTCAGTTCCAGAATTTCTCTCTGGTTTCTTTTTTAGGTTTTCTACCTTTTTATTACTATTTACATTTTGTTCATACATCATTTTCTTGACTTTATCCATGCCTTTCTTTAGTTCTTTGAGCATCTTTAAGACAGTTGTTTTAGAGCCTTTGTCTAGTAGATCCACCATCAGGTCTTTTTCAGGGATAATTTCCATTGGTTTTTTTTTTTTTTTTTTCTCTTATTTTGAATGAACCATACTTTCCTGTTTCTTTGTATGCTTTGTGTTTTTTGTTGAAAGCTGGACATTTGAATCTAATAATCAGTAATCCTGGAAATCACATGGGGAATGGGGAATTTTCTCATTCCCCAGGGTTTGCTGTTTTTTGGTTTTCCTTTTTGTTTTTATTGTTGTAGACTATCTCTGCCGAGGATCAGCCTGAGGTGTAAACTTAAGGTCTTCTCAGGTCTTTTCTGAGCCTCTGCCTTCCCCTGGGCATGTGTAGTAGCTTTCTAATTTCCCCCATATATGCAGTTGCTTGAATATTCTAGTCTTCAATGTCTGTCTCTCAAAGGGGAAAAAGAGAAAAACGAAGGGGGATTGAGGGGAGCACCAACCCTTTACATCCCTTGGCAGTCATAATCAGCAGAGGGGGAAGGGCTTCAACAATGGGGGAGGTGCAGCGGCAGTGGCTGCCACCATTTTGCCTGCACCTCTGTGAACCTGCTAGCTGTACCTATAACCTGGAACAAGTTAGTAATATTTCTGACCTCAGACTTCTCATCAATAAAATGGAGATAGTAACAGCTTCTATGTCATGGTATTTGGGGAAGAATAAAATGATAAATGCATATAAAGCACTTAGCAAGAGCCTGGTCTAGTAAACACAAAATAAGTATTAGCTGTTATGTTGAACCATGTGAAATTGCTGATATTTCATCAATTTTTTTCTTTTACCTAAACAGCCATTTCATAGGCTCATCCTATATGGCTATCATTTCATAGTTGAGAAAACTGAGACTCAAATAACTTAACTTTTTCAACTTAACTTTTTCAATGTGTTCAGCTCATACATGGTAGTGAAGGGATTTTGACCTTTTTTACAGTCTAAGTTAGATTATGGAGTGACAAACACTGTGCCACTAGTTTAGTCAATACTCTCAACAAAAACTTGTCACTAATAATCAGGAGAAGTCTACTGACTGATTACATTTAGTGTCACCATTCTCAATGCAATGAAAAAGAATTTTCCTTCTAACTAAATAACATCTCTTATAAAAATATCCTTCAGAGATCTCAGGGCCAAGAACCAATCCAGATGCCCTCAGATTGCATCATTAAGGTCAATTTTTCAGTAAAATAGAGCAATTTGAATCTATTTTATACCCTCTGTCAGGATGTAACTGGTCGTCAGTCAAGAAGTCAACAATGGCCTCTAACTCTTTCTGCTTTTGCCCTAGGGCGTGTGGGTCCAGTGACTTTGGATGACTGTGGGGATATTGACAATACTATGTTGCTTCTGTACACCTCTGTGGACACCAACAAAGTATGTCTGACTTCTTATCGGCAACTTGGGGTTAAGTGACTAGGTGAGGAGGGTTCTCCTGGAAGGTAAATATTGGGCTGGCCAAAAGGTTTTCTGTAACTAAGATCTTACAGAAAAACCGAACAAACTTTTTGGCCAACCCAATACTAGCAAAGGAATTAGAGAAGTTATGTTTAGAATCTAGAGGTTAGTTTATTTCAGATTTATGATTATGCCCCCCTTGGGGCCGTATTCCTTAAACATTTTCTCCCATAGAACTTCTTATTCAGAATATCCACTCTATTTACTGTATAAAAAATACCCACCCAGAAAACACTGGTATAAAGACCAGACTGTTGATGGGATACCAATGAGAAGGTGATGTTTTTTTCCTAAGAATTGTTTATTCATTTCCACAACTAAAAATTTGAATGAAGCATTACCTCTTCTCTCTCCTTCTGAAGTCTCATGAAAATCATTAATTGTGTAATCCCTCTGGCACATACAAACAGCCTTCTAATGTTATGCTTTGTGTTCACACACTATATATACATAGTACATATCTATCTATAGATAGGTATTTACACACCTACATATGTGCTTTATATTCACACACACTATATATAATACATATCTATCTATCTATAAATAGATAGATAGACATATTCACACACCTACACAGTAGGTTCTTTGAAGAAAGGGGTGGATCTCATTTCTCCACGTCTCCTGTGCTTAGCTTCTTATCTGGCACATAGGTGACGGCTGCTAAGTGTTTAATTTAAAAACAAAAATACCTGCCTTTATGTCACCCAGAGTTGTGCCCATCATGAACTAGAAGCCACTGTTCTAACCAACCAAATGGTAGGTAGAAACCTTTTCTTCTTTAAGAAGTTAGGTCCTGACATAACCAGGAATCTACTAGCAAAAGTTTTTCATTTTTTCATGTAATTTTCCAATATGAGCATTCTGACATCCCTAACCCATATATTGAGTGTATGTATTGACCCAGCTTTGTAAAAGACAACTATAATGCGAAATGTGGAAAGCAAGAGAAAAGATGCTCAGATTGAGAAAGTTAAACTAGAAGTTCGGGGCGGGGGGTAGCAGCATTTCAGAAAAGTAAAGCATCGTTTTTAGTTACATTGTTTTACTTATACTGAACCTTTACTACAATGCTGTATTTGGCATCATACCATGGGAATACCTTAAAATGCAATCTGCTCGATACTTCAGTTTCTAGTAGTAACTACTGAGGTAACTACATGCCCCTCTAAGTTATTTGCACCTGGGATGATGGCTTTGCCTCCCTTGGAGAGAGGCAGATACCTGCGGTGAGATTCTATGTCAGCCTTATGATTGCTCTTCAAAATGAAAAATGTGGTTCTGTGCACTTGCTGTCTCCACAGGCAAGTCTAGTTGAACTTTTCAATAATCTAATGCCATCAGTTGTGCTGTATGATATGTATCTATGGGGAAACCAGGGGTTAATTCTCAAAACATAGGGCTATAGATAAGTTATTCCATAACCAGAGTAGGTCTCAGTAGAGATATAATCTACCAGCCCCTAATATATAGGATATTTTCTATCCTCAATATATGCAAGTTTATATTCTGTTTTCAAGTTAAGAGTATAATTTTGAGAATGTAAAGTTTTGTCAGAATGTCTTGAGGGAGCAGTGGCGAATTTAGAAGGATGAACATTTTCCAGATGCCTCTTACAAAACTGACTCAATATATGCAGCAGTAATTTAAGGGTATATTAATATTTCCATTGACAGATTACTTGAAAAAGAAACCTTTTATCTTGGAAACCTAGTGAGTGCCGTGTCTAAGAAAGTACATTAGAGTGTAGGGCTAGAAGAGATTCAAAAATTATGTAATTGACAGAACTTAAGAAATGTAGAATTCTCTAGGAGCCCCTTGACGTGTATAAATATGGATAATGGATGTTGGCTATGGTGCATTTTCTCAAGACATCATTTTTAGTAGCAACTTAATATTGTGGAAAACACTGCTGCCTCCCTTGTCATGTGACTTGGAGCTAGCCATTTAATTTTTCTTGCTTCTATTTTAACATGAGTAAAATGAAAGACTTGAACTAGAAAGACCCAAAGAATCTCTGCTGGGCAGGTGTAGCATATGGTCATAAAGAAACAGAAAACTAATCGGCCCACATGGAGCTTAAATCCATGTTCATGATGAGAACCAAGTAGATCCTGACTAGGTCCTGGCTGGTAACATTTACCTTGTTTCACTGAGAAACATTGCTATGAAATTCAAATGTCATTGGGCAGCACGGCTAATCTCATCAGAAGTCATTCTAAAATGTCTTTTTCTGTTCATCCTTCTTCTTTTCATGCCCCGACACAGTACAAGGTTCTTTTGACCTATGACACCCGCATAAACCAGACTAACCCGGTGGATAAGAGGCCCACATTCATCTGGAAGAACCACAAACTTCCTAAAGATAGACCAGGCAAGGGTAAGATATCCTTCATGAAGCTTCTTTTCCTGAAATTGTCTTTTTGGTAAGGAGAGTAAATTCTGTGGTTTATGAAATTAGCCTGTGTTTTTTGTTTTGTTTTGCTTATTGTCTGTATTAGATTTGCCAGGTTTGTAAACATGGACTTTACGTCTCTGTCCAATGAATAATATTACAGTTCTGATAAAACACTGAAGATATCCCATTCTAATTTAGCTATAACTGTCTTTAAGATAGGGTGTCTTTAATAGGGTGTCCTACCTACCCCTTGACGTAAATTTTCCTATAGAAAACTAGGTTTGGCAATTGGCAAAATGAACACAGAGACGCATAGTCTCACTCCATTTACATTTTACTGAAGGAAACTCATGGAATGTATATTTCAGCAAGGAATACTCGATGGCATTAGGCTGAGGGTGGTAAGTGAGCGTGGCCTCTGAAGTCTCCCCCGTTTCCTCAGAGGACACATACTTGGGTCATAATGACGGTCACCTTCCTACCTGAGATGAGGTCCCATCATGTCATGAAAGCCCTAACACAGCTAGGGCTTCACCCATGCAACTTGCCATGCAACTGTATAACACTGACTGTCACTGGACAGGGCCAGCTGAGTGTCTCATGGGCAACAAGGTCTCAGGACACTCTGCCCATGGCTGTCTTGGCCAAGGCTTTCCACAATGAATAGTAAGTAATTCCATATTACTAATCAATTTTTAGGAAAAAAGTTTAAATTTGAACAAATATTTATGCCCAAAGATGCAAAAGAAAAAAAAAAGGTGGAAACATTATTAATAAAATGACTTAGAAAACTACAATGTATTCAGAAGTGGGGCAACATGCAACCAATTAAAAATAATTATTTACAAAGAATTTTAAATGACATTGGAAGTTATGAGTAAAGTAATACAGCTTTTTTATTTAATGAAAGTCTAACTTTGCAAAACAATGTATAGAAATAAGACTGCAGAAAAGTATGCTAAAATGTCAATAGTCGTAGCCTCCGAGTAACAGTATCCTAGATTTTCTTTTTGCTTTTTTATATATTTCTTAATTTTCTAAATTTTCCATAATGACTCTATTAATTTACCATTTTTAAAAAATATTAAAAATTATAAACTAGAAATACTTCTATCCTAGCCCTGCTCTACAGCCAGAAACTCTGGCTGAAAGGTTGATCTGGCTGAAGAGAAGAGTTCTGATTAAATGGGCTTGTTCACATTATAGCTGTAACTATGTTTCTAGTTCTTGTGTTCCATGAGTCAAATTTGGTTAAAAATGAATCCTGTGTTTTTAGTCAATAGACATGAGGCAGTTGACTGAAGCAAAGAGAGAGGTAGGAAGTAGGGATCCCATTCTTCTAAATGATTTACTGTCATCATGGCTTTTTAAAGTTGATTTGTTTTCTTTAGCAAGCTTTTTTTTTTCTTTTTAATTATCTCTAGAACCATCTTCAAGCTTCCTAGATTCAAGCCAAACTTGAATATATCTCTTTTCTCACAGGCTTCTGCAACTCTATGCTTCTTTCTTTTGTAATTTTTTGAGTTAAAATTATTTTTCCTTTTCCTTAGTTATAGCCCTCAGTGACAGAGTTGGGTTGTATTTTTAATATATTTCTTTAAAAGTTTTTAGATATTTTGGTTATTTAACAGAAAGTCTGTACTGTGTAAAATAATGAACTTCTCAAAACATGATATTTGAGAGAGTTCTCATTATTTACCTAAACGAGATCCCATTAAATATTTACATTACATACCACAGGGACGTTGCCTCATCCTGGGCAACTTTACTTCATCCTCAGTTAACTAGAAAATTCAGTTAGCCAGAGCTTTTCATTCTTTAACTGTTACATTTAGTTTCAGACTTTACAAATTAAGTAACTCAGTCTTTCAAATAGTATACAAATAAGATAGTCATGCCCGGTCTTTCATCTGTGTACACAACTGCCAACTAAGTAACAGAACGTTTCATCAGGAGATTTCTACCATCACTGTCTTTTCATTCATCCAACAAATATTTACTTAATGCCAGACAATGTTCTAAGCACCTGGGATGCAGCAGTGTACAACGCAGGTCTGGTTCCTGTTCCGCACCCAGGCCTTCCTCAGCTGCCTCCTGGGTTCCAATGACATCCATCTGTCTTCCTGCTCAGCCCCACCTCCTGCCCACCTCAAACCCAACCACCACTGCCACCAGAGGGATAGCGCAAATCCAGTCGCATTACCCAACTGCTCTAACCCTTCGATCGGCAGCTCCACTTTGTCTTCAGAGTCCAAATGACTTGTTATAGCACGGAATGTCCCTGATCTCCCCACGTCTCCAGCCTTCTTTTTCATCTTACCTGAAATCTCTTCCCCACTCTCTCAACTTCCTCCTACTTCCTTAAAGAAAGGGTCTTGCAGCTTCATGCTCCTGGGTCTTTATTGATGCTACTCCCTCTGACTAAAATCTGTCCCACACACCCCCATAGAACTAGTAAACAACCACTCATCCTCAGTGTGTAACTTGGATTTCACCTTTCCTAAGCTTTTTCCTAGCATCTCAGGAGGTTATTGGTCTTGCCCTCATTACACCGGACTTCTAGCATATTACTTATATCTCATTTATTTGTTTACACCATACACCGTGTAAGTGTAGGGTCCATTCTTTACTCAAATACGGTGCCTTGAAAGGAAGGAAAGAAGGAAGAAATGAAGGAAGGAAATAAAGGGAGGAAGGAAAGTGAGGAATGAAAGACAGTATAACTATGAATATGCTGCTATTCAGTACTAATCTAGACAGTGTTAATTTCAGTCCACTTACTCTCTAACTATGAGTATCTTCCTCTGTTAAGTCAGGAGATTTGTTAACTGATCTCAAAGTTCTTTCCAACGATCATGTTCTATGACCTTGGGGTTATAAAACTCAATCTGCATTCACCGTCTATCTAGTTAAATAGGCTGTGATAACCACAGTAGCCACCAGAGGGCAGCAGAAACTTAACCTTAGAACTAATGTGATACGGTGATTTACAAGTATGTTGAATTAAAAATTACTATATTTAAATAGTATGTAGTATATTTAAATATCATAATTATATTTCATGCAATGTGATGTTCATACTAGGGAAGAATTGAGAGGGGCTAAGGACTCAGCAGATATTCCCTCCAACTTATGCTGTAGTCTGGAGGCTGGGTAATTTTAGTAGACTGATGAGTAGAATTGTCTGCACTGTTGAAATTGTATTCCTCGTACTCACTGTTGTTTTTTATGTGGGGTTGGGGTTATAAGAGTGGTGGTGATGGGAATGGAAGTGGTGATTGTAGTAATAAACGGAATTCACCAAAGTCAAATATGCCCACAATGCAGCTCCGCCTCCAAGGGAATAATTTATTTCTGCGCTAACGAGAATAGAAATCCAGGGCTCACATTTTCACTGTTAAATTTTCCCCTTAGCAGAAAACAAGATAACAAGCAGAGGCAAAGTTATAAGTTAGCAAAGCATAACTCCTTCCAATTCATCCCTTATAGAAAGATGCTGCAGTATGAACCTTACTAAACCCTCTACCTCAGAAAAAAAAAATGGTTAGCTCATTAGAAGGACATAATGTGATGAAACAAAAATGGCTCAAAAATACATGTGACATGTAAGCTAAGTGTAATAGCACAAGAGATTTTTTTTTATGTGAATTTATTTACATATATTATTTGGGCATTTTTCTTTGCCTCTTCTCAGAGAGTGAGATGAGCAGGGCCAAGTTTTTATTCAATTATTTATTTATTCAGTAATTTTTTATTGATACGTGACCAGGTACCAGGTCTGGTGCTGTGTGCTAAAGGTATCAGGATGAGCAGACAGAACACCGGCCATGCCCTCAAGGGTCTATGTTATGGTGCCATGAGAGAGAATACAGTGTGAGGTGTTGAGGTGCCACTTGAATAAGATCTGGCCACTCATCATTCCAGGGACACCTTCATTAATTATATTTTTATTGTATAAAAATTCATGCACGTGATTTTAAAAGCCAAGAGTAGAAATATTCATAATGGAAAGAGTGTACCTGGTCCCACCTCTGTGCACCCCTGGTCTTGCAGTCCCTTCTGCTTCGTTTTTTTTCATATTTTTAAATAATATGCATATATTTTTTGCTTTGTAAGCTTTAGATGTTATCTATTTATTTCTTGTATTGATAAATGAAGATATAGTTCATTTTCACTAGCCCTACTTTTCTCTAAGCTTTCTCAATATAGTTATATCTTTTTGTCAATACATTTATTGGTGCCTTGTAATTTTAATTAATTTTGCATAAGCTTCGAGTTCTATCAAGTATATATAAAAGTTCTTGCTTCCCAGCTTTGTAAGATGAAGACGTTAGTGTCACTTTCCTTTCTTCTACCTCCTTCCCACCTCCCAGATTCTCCTGTATTTTGCTTTAATTTGTCTGGGCTGATAATATTTTTTTGGTAGCCATATGAAGCCCTCTGTCATTTACCTATCAGTTGAAAATTACTAAATATTTTCATTGTTATTATTATTTTTATAAAGTTAGATAGCATGGCAGGATAACATTTCTTTCTGTATAACTCCAATGTCTCTCCTTTGTGACACACACACACACACAAATGGATTTTTTAAATTCCAAATTCTCAAACTATTTTACTTCGTTTTATTTTTAGATGCGCCTTCCTTGATCATACTTCCCTAGAGTTTCTGATTGGGTCTCTCTTATTTATGCTATAAAGAAAAAAAACCTGTCTCCTTCACCATATTGCTATTACCTTCCAGCTTCTTACACACTATCTGTTGCTTGGAATCCATTCCATTTCTTCTTCTTGAACCCTCTAACTTCCTATTCTAATAGGGATCTGCTGAGGCATGTTTGAGCAACGACTTTCTTGTACAGTTGTTGTTTCTTTTTTAATTGATTTTTGGCTGCATTGGGTCTTCATTGCTGTGCATGGCTTTCTCTAGTTGTGGCGAGCGAGCCGTGACTACTCTTCTCTGCAGTGCGAGGGCTTCTCATTGCAGTGGCTTGTCTTGTTGCAGAGCTCAGGCTGTAGAGCGTAGGCTCAGTAGTTGTGGCGCACGGGCTTAGTTGCTCCACGGCATGTGGGGTCTTCCCCTGCATTGGCAGGCAGATTCTTAACCACCGTGCCACCAGGGAAACCCTCTTGTACAGTTTTATTATTGTTGTTGTCCTTCTTAATCTAGGCTTTGTCCTCTGCACACTCAGAGTCTGCTTCAGTGCTTCGTTGGGTTGGATCCACGTTTTCCTGAATTCCACTGACTCTTCTGCGAGTCTTTCAAATTCCTCCTTCTACACAGCTTCACCTACATGCTAATAAATCACATTCCTTACGTACTTCATGGACTTCCCTCAGTGACCCGGTTGAGCTTGGAAAGGACCAGTGGGCAACACTGTCATGTACTGTTCACTCCACACTGTCCTACTTTTCCTCCGATGTGTTCTCTGTATTGAAAAACAGTTGTCTATTTCTTCCTCTGCGAATCCTCCTTAGGTATATTGGTATCAAAGGCATCAGATAGTCTTCCCACCAAAATTATTTGTGTGCCAGAAACTATTTTATGTCCTTGTAACATTTGATGATTCCCGTAAGAAACGAGATGTCTAAACTATAAGGGTAGATGAAATTAAGCCACTTTGGAGCACATTCCAGACAGTTTTCCTCATAGACCAAGGAGGCAGGATCTGTATTACCAATGAAGAGATTAATAAAAGACAGATATCTTTTTTTAATTTAATTTTTATTTTATACTGGAGTATAGTTGATTTACAGTGTTGTGTTAGTTTCAGGTATACAGCAAAGTGCTTCAATTATGCATATACCTATATCCATTCTTTTTCAGATTCTTTTCCCATAGAGGTTATTAAGAGAATATTGAGTAGAGTTCCCTGTGCTATACAGTAGGCCCTTGTTGATTATCTATTTTATATACAGTAGTGTGTATATGTTCATCCTAAACTTCTAATTAATTTATCCCTCCCTCCCACTTTTCTCCTTTGGTGACCGTAAGTTTGTTTTTACATTTGTTTGTTTTTAAGTCTGTTTTAAGTTTGTTTTTACTTAAGCTTGTTTGGAAGTCTGTTTTAAGTTTGTTTGTTTTTAAGCTTGTTTGCTTGTTTTGAAGTCTGTGAGTCTGTTTCTGTTTTGTAAATAAGTTCGTTTGTATCATTCTTTTAGATTCCACATATAAGTGATATCGTATGATGTTTGTCTTTCTCTAAAAGACGGATGGCTTAAAAGGTCTCTCCTTCTCCCCATCCTCAAGTTATATTACAACTAGGATCTTGTGGGGTGTGTGCATTGTCTTTTCAAAGGTCCTTACTGGTGCGTTTTCACCGTCTTCTCTGCCCCAGGCCCTCAAATGCTGCTGGTCGCTGTCTTCACTCTCACGGCGGCAGTGGCCCTGCTCCTGCTCGGCGCCCTCCTGGTGCTCAGGTACCTTGCAGCCCCTCTAACCTGCTGTGCTCCCCACTCAGAGAGGGAAGGGGGCGAGAGGGAGAAGGCACGTCTGTGGATGCTAGTATACATTCACAAGAAGCTCTCTGGACAGAGCTAAGATCATGAAGGCGTTCAGCATCAAAGACTCCATCAAGGGCAGAATATTACTCAGTGGATGGATTAGAGCTTTGCCCTCAGAGACGTTTGAACTCAAATCCCAGTTCTGGGCTTTACCGGTCGTGTGGTGTTAACCATATTATTAGCAACTTAAACATGTTACTGGGCTTCCCTGGTGGCGCAGTGGTTGAGAGTCCGCCTGCCGATGCAGGGGACGCGGGTTCATGCCCCGGTCCGGGAAGATCCCACGTGCCATGGAGCGGCTGGGCCCATGAGCCATGGCCGCTGAGCCTGCGCGTCCGGAGCCTGTGCTCCACAACGGGAGAGGCCACGGCGGTGAGAGGCCCGCGAACCGCAAAAAAAAAAAATGTTACTCAGCTTCAGTATCCTCATCTGAACTCTTGTGAGGAGTTGAAATAAGGTCCGTATCGTGACCATATACCAGGCATTCTACAGGTAGAAATAGCTATTTCTGCTGTTTTATTAGTATATTGTGGGCAATTTCAGAGTCTCTATATTACATACTTTCAGGCCGGAAGAGGCTTTAGAAATCATCCATTCCAAACCTCCTGCTTTAGCCTGAGGAAAGAGAGACCCAGAAAGCCAAATGGCTTGTCTGGAATCACATCACCAGGTAGTGTGTTGGGCCAAAGGTAGAAGTCAGTCCTTCTGACCATCAGTTCCATGATTGCTCTACTCAGCTTGGACATATGAAGAGCCTAGTGCAGTGCCAGAGACATAGTCTGTATACTCAGAAATATTTCTTGAATATATAAATGAATGAGTGAGTCCCACACTACCTCCTAATCTGTGTGTGTTAAACACACAAAACTTTCTATCCCATTAGAGTATCAGGATCATTCCCATTTCTTAACTAAACCAGACAAGTTTTTCTCTATGTATCACACGCTTTGGTCTGTGTGTCACTGTACCTTCTCATGATGAGAGTCCAGTCTGTTGCATGTCAGTTAAAGATTTCTGCAGGAAAGTGGGTAGATTGTTCTCTTCAGTCTAAAGGCAGAGCTTGACTCCTGTGACTCTGTATTACCAAGAAATGTAAGAGATGATTTACAGTGTATGGTGACCATTTAGTTGAAGGTAAGAGGAAACCAAAATTTGAGGAGAGTAAAGGCAGCCAACAGCAGGGCCACAGATGTGGCTATTGTCCCTCAGACACCAAGTCCAAATGGGCGTCAGCTTAAGATAGGATGAATCGCAAAGTAAGAAACAGTAACAGGTGGAAACAGGCATTTTCCGTTTTCTCTAAGCAGGGAAGGCAGAGATAGGGCTTCCTAATGGCGAGAGCAATACTGTGTCCATGAGGAGATATGGAAGACAGATGTTATTCTTATAGTTTTCCATTCCAACAGCTATGCAAGAAAAGTAGTGAATGATTTATAGCATCCTCTAATTCAGTATGAATGGCAGTTGGCTCTGTGGAGTCCCAGGAGTCTTCCGCAGTGCAGAGATGAGAGTCTGGGAGCCTTCAAGGCCCTAATAGTCACGCCACTTGCCACCAGGTCTTAGGACCGAAATCTTTGGCCAATAATATACTATTTTATATGTATCTAATAGAGGGGTAGTCAGAGTTAGATGGAAGCATAGGAAGAGAATAATCATTTCTGCTTAGGGGACATTCACAACGTCATCATCAATGACCTTGAGACGGTGAGTAGGAGTCTGTCAAATGAGCACAAGCAAAGATAAACTCAGGGACAAATAGGCCAATGGAAAAGAATACAGATTCTAGAATCTGACACGAGCAAGCGTGAGAACTTGGCATATGATGGGAACATTATGAGTCAGTTGGGAAATGATATTGGAACAGTAGGCTCTCAACATGAAAAAAATGAAATGAAAGCCCTACCTGAAACAATACACAAAGATAAATTTCATTCTATATGGATTGTAAATGGATTACAGACCTAAATGTGAGAAAGCAAACTCAGAAGAAATTAATAGAAAATGACTTTATGTCTCAAGTAGGAAAATACTTCTCATTCAAGATAAAAAAGAAAAGTCAAAGAGAAAATAATATAACCATGACCTTAACAAAATCAAAACTTTTTATACAGCAAAGCTCAATAAAGCAATAAACCAGAAGAAGGCATTTGCAACGCATCAAAGGACAAAAGATTTGTTTTGCAGAATTTATAAGGAACTCGTGTAAATAAATAAGGCAAAGACAATGCAATAGAAAAAATGGGCAAAATTATGAATAGGCAACTCTATAAAATAGCTAGAAAATATTTGAAAAGATATTTAATCTCTCTAATAATCAAGAAAATGAAATACAAAGCAACAAACACCATTTCACATACATCCTAAGGGTTAAAAAAAGTTAAACAATGCCAAATGTTGTTAAGAATACGGAGGAAACGGGAATTTTCACAGTGAGAGGGCAAATTGGTGCAATCGCTTTGGGAAACAATTTGGCAATGTCTGTAAAGTTGTGAGTGTGCATTCCTATAACCCAAGAATGCTGCTTTGTCTATACTATCTGGGGCTAACAATCACAAATTCTTGACATTTTGAATGTTGGGTTACATGTTGTTACATTTTTCTCTGTGCTTTTCTATTTTCTTAATGGATTTTTTAAAAGGCACGTATGCCGAAGAGGAACTGGCTTATTTGGGAATCTGATGTATCCTCTGTTTTCGCCTCACGCTTTCTGTGACATCAGTTGAATTTTTTTTTTTTTTTTTTTTTTTGCTGTACGCGGACCTCTCACTGTTGTGGCCTCTCCCGTTGCGGAGCGCAGGCTCAGCGGCCATGGCTCACGGGCCCAGCCGCTCCGCGGCATGTGGGATCTTCCCGGACTGGGACACGAACTCGTGTCCCCTGCATCGGCAGGCGGACTCTCAACCACTGCACCACCAGGGAAGCCCAGTTCAAATTTTTTATTATAATAAAGGGTTGCCTTAGTGAAGGATCTGAGAAAGTGAAATGAAAAAGAAAAAAAAAGAAAGAGTACAGAAGACCATCAGAAATCCTTACAGGTCCACAAAAGGTCAGCACTCACCAGTTTGGAGAACATGGAGTCACACCATTGGGCCAGCTGTACTCACCGCGTATCCACCTGAGGGCATCATAGCTCTAGATTTCTCCTAGTGTTCAGAAACCGAATGGCATGAATACTAATAAAAACCTATTGGCTGATTCTATTCCTTTCACAGAAAATATAAGAGAGACTATGCACTTCGACAGAAAAAGTGGTTCCACATTCCTCCCGAAAATATCTTTCCCCTGGAGTCCAGTGAGACCAACCATGTTAGCCTAAAGGTAAGGTTTCCCTTACCTGGTGAATGCAAGGGCTGGTGCGACTTGCCAGGGATTTGACAAGACTTTGGTACGTGGTATGAAATGTTCCAGGCCAGGATCATTTGTTTCAGAATCCAAGACTTAGATGTTTTCTAACTCAGCTTCCTGTCTTTCCCTTGGCTCTTCATTGCACTAAATGTCAGCTACCTGAACCAATGAACACTTCGGTGGAGGCTGAGATACGGTGTGTTACTCATTCTTTGCATCTGACCCAGAAGAGAAATGCACAGAGTGAGAATTTTTTATGGAAGGGATACGGAAATGGGTAGAGCATTTGAGCTCCTCTAAACCTCGGGGAGCTACTCTGCTTATACTGAGGACGTGTGACTTACTTGCTCGTTGCTGACAAGAGAGGTCTCTGCTGATATTTGCCCACATTCTCCCTCAGCCAGGAAATCTCAGCAGCAGCCCTGTGATAACTGCTCCCATCCGCTGAGGTTGATGTGGGACCTAAGTGGTCTTACCTGCTCCCCACAGGGACCTCATGAGATGAACTTTACCATCATAATTTTGCTGATGAGGAAATTGAAGGGCAAAGGGTTGAGAAGCAGGGCAGGGTCACACACAGCTAGGGAGTCAGATTGCTACAAATGGTAACAGCTAACATTTCCTGAGCACTTGTTATGTGCCAGAGGCATTGACCCGTTTCATCGTTCCCGAGCACTTTGAGGCAACAGGGCTAGAAATTCAGGAGCGTGGCCACAGCGTGAACCCAGTCTGTGTAACCGTGAAGACCACGATCCTAACATTCACCATACACCACAGCCTTATCAGAGGTTTTATACCGAAGCATACTAAGAGGAGATGGAGTTCCAGAACCTCCACGTGAAGGAGTGAGCAGGGTCCCTCAGAGCAGGGCCAAGCCAACAGGATCGTGTGACCTGGGGTGCCTCCCTGCCTAGAATCAGCAAAAGTAAAATTGCTTCACGGGTCAGGTTTGTGCTTGGAGCCTCTCCGCCAGCTCCTGGCATTCCACCCCAAGTCCTGCACACTGCACTCTGGTGCCTCAGGTCCCCTCACGGCTGTGCAAGGACTGGGTCTTCCCATCCTCCAGAAGTGCGCCACGCTCGAAAGTGATGCTCCTGTTACATCCTGAACCACAAAAATAAAGGTGCTGTTGGCAAAGGCCAGGGACTTGCCTGGCAGTCCAGTGGTTAGGACTCCGAGCTTCCACTGCAAGGGGCACGGGTTCGAACCTTGGTCAGGGAACTAAGATCCCGCATGCTGTGCAGTGTGGCCAAAAAGTTAACCAACTAACTCACCAAATAAATATTTCTAAAATTAAAAAAAAAAGACCAATCTGTCTCAGGCAAGTGTCAGGATGAAATCGATCTTGTGGCCATTCACAGTAAAATGTAAACAATCGTCAGATTATTGGATTTTCAAAGAGAGAATTTATTGACCTGAATGACTTACCAGCAGTACCCTGGGAAGGGGAGAGGAGACCTTTAGAAGGAGTGAGTGGTCCCCTGCCTCTGGTGTGACACGAGGGTGGGCTCCCACGTGGTTCACCTCTGCCACGTCCAGCCACGGCTCCCCTCCTCACAAGCCTCCCCCACTGCCTCAAAACCCCAATATTGCACTTTGTTCTTTGGGGTTAGGCCTAAAACATTGTGTCTCTGCACGTTTTCTTAAAATATAAATACTCCTAGGAGTATACCCCATCTACCCCTTGTCAGGCATGACATAATTTTTATGAGTTAATTCATCAGTTGGCTAAGGAATAGGTCTTGGGGACAGTAACCAAGAAGGAGGAAGGTTAAAAGTGATTCAGAGCATTGGGGAGTCGCTGTCACTCTGAGGTGCAGCCCAGCTAGGGAGCAGGCGGCTGGGAATTGGCCTTCCGTCAGCAAAGTCAGCAAGAGGGGAAAATGCCACACAACCAGACAGGCGGTGGTTCGAGCTCTGGATAAGGAAGCAAGACTAAGGGGCGAGATGATGAAGAAAGCATCCCGGGCTAGAAGAGAGAGGGTCAGAAAACCAAGGCAGCCAGAGGGAGAGAAGTCAGCAAAGCCCCAGGGGAGAGCAACAGACAGAAGAAAATGGTAAAGATGCAGAGGACTCATTTGAGGATAAAACGCCTGTGCTTGCAAGAAAATGTCACAAAGTTTATCTCGGTTGATTCCCAGGTATCCCTGAGTTAGGATTGCCCAGATAAGGAAGGGACTGAGGCTCAAAATGGTTTAAAGGACGTATCGAGGCCTGAGGGGGTGAAAAGAATACTAGACAAGAAGTCATGCTTGGGTTCCATGTGTTCTTAGGCCACGTGTGGTATCATGCAACCCTTTTGTACCTCATGTATAAAATGAGAAACAGGAGAAGGGGAGACAAGTGGCATTTATTTATCTGCAGTGTGCTGGGCATCATGCTTGGAATTGGATATAACTTACTTCACTCACATTTTCAAAATGTCCCTATGAGCTAAGTTTTAACAAATATAATACACAGGTTTTTATGAGAATCAAGTGGAAAGATGCAAGAGTTCTCAATCTTTTTTCTGCCTTTAGACTGGCAGACCAAGAGCCATGCTAGCCTGCAGGTGCGTGCGTGTGTGTGTGTGCGTGTGTGTGTGTGTGTGTGTGTGTGTGTTACGTTTCGTTCCATATTTAACTTTTTAAAACATTAATTACCAAATACAAACATCTTGGAATGGCACAGAAAATCCATATTACAAGCTTCTTTTGACAAATCAGATGATCTGGCAACTCCAGGCTGAACCCGGAGCTGATGAGGCTGTCCTCTGAAGCCCCAGCACAGCGTCCTCACTTGCGTTGCTACTTGGGCATTTACGCATGAGTTCGCAACTCAGATGCACAGCGTGCTCCCCTAAGAGCGTCTGTCTGGAGCTACAGGCAATGGCTCCCAATAGATGGGGGAGCTGAGAGAGAAGGAAGCAAAGGAAATCGCTGGCTGAAATAAGCGACAGGAGGAAGGGAGGGAAACCCAGGGTTAAGCTGGCGGATACTTGGAAGGAAGATACCCTTGGAGGGAGAGCGTGAGAATGATAGGGAACGCAAGTCAATTATGACAGTTTTTCTGAGCCCGCCCAGAGTGCTGTGAGCAACTACAACAGATACAGCCCACCCGCAGAGCCTCTCAGCCTTCACTGGCAGGGGGTGGGGGGAGAGTAGATATGGAGCTTCTGGAATAATTGGCCTTTCCTTGTGCCAGATCGATGACGACAAGAGACGTGATACAATCCAGAGACTACGACAGTGCAAGTACGACAAAAAGGTGACTCTAGTCTCCTCTGCTCTTCTGAACCCTCAATCAGGGGTATGTGCTGGGCCTTCTGACTCATCGTCGCCCCAGCTCTGATGTTGCCAGTGCGATGGCCGGGGTGCCCGGGCTGACCCCAAGGGCTGTTCCTGGAGCCTTTCAAGGGGTGGGCAGGGCTCTGCTTCAAGGGTTACAACACTCACAAGTCCTGAGTATATTGAAGGAAAAATAGAATTTTTGAGAGGGAGAGAGTGAAGGAAGGAAAAGGAAAAATTAAAGAGATTCAGAGCAGTCCAGGCAACCCTGTATATATTTCAGCTCATTGCAGTGGGAATATGACAATCCCATGGGGGGGTTTGTATCTTCTTTCCCTCCCTCCCTCCCTCCCTCCCTCCCTCCCTCCCTCCCTCCCTTCCTTCCTTCCTTTTCATTTAGTCATTTTTAAGAAACATTCCCATCTGAGCCTACCATATCCCAGGCACTAGTTACCAAGGATATAAACAGCAATAAAAGTGTTACCACTCTCGAGAGCTTACAGTGTTGTGGAAAGATAGACACGTGAGCAAATTATTATAACATGCATATGAGTGGTCATGCTACATTCTCTCCTTAATTCAATGGGTCTTTGCAGCGAGTGATTCTAAAGGATCTCAAGCACAACGATGGCAATTTCACCGAGAAACAGAAGATAGAATTGAACAAGGTACGCGTCCCTTCCTTAAAACCTTTAAGTGAGAAATAGCTTCACCCCATTCTCCCCAAGCATTGAGGTCCCTGGTGGAGCAAGGTGTTATTGGGGATGCTGACAGAGAAGCCCTCAGACCAAGAAATGGGTGACCATACTCGCTGAAAATTGTACCAAAATATGTTGAAGAGTGATGTTTGAGGGTGTAAAACATGTTGGCATGTCCTAGAAGGTGGTCCTGATGTGATTTGAGAGTACTCAAAGGTTTGTATTCAAGTCCCCTTGCCGACAAAAGAAAGGCTGTGGGGTAAGATGTAATTCCAACTGCAGTAGGAAATGAACTGACACTTCATTGTATCAAGAGCAATACATCTTCCCAGAGATCTGAGACACGGCACGTTTTATTAACATATTAGTTTTTACTCAGGCGCTCCTTTCTGGCTGACTTGCTTTGTAAATAAACATGTTATATCTTAGTTGCTGCAGATTGACTATTACAACCTAACCAAGTTCTACGGCACGGTGAAGCTTGATTCCATGATCTTCGGGGTGATCGAGTACTGCGAGAGAGGATCCCTCCGGGTAAGGAACCAGGATCGTTTCCAATTCCCTACTAGCCAACCATATGCAAAAAAGAATATTTAGTAGCGACTTTAAAGGCTCACTCAGTGAAATAATATCAGAGAGTTATCAGGAAAAGTGTATGGGCCCATATGCTTGTCAAACTAGATCCCTCAGATCTTGTCAATCGTCCATATTATATCTTTATAAGAAAACTAGCTAAAAAATATTCAGGAGTGTAGACTTGAGAAGACAAAGAACAGGTGTGGAATAGTGATTGCCTCTTGATTCATTTTATTTTACTGGCATACTTGCTTTTGTATTAAAAGGAAACTGGATGGTCATTACGATAGCGAGGAGGCTTGTTCATAAGTCCTAGTTCTGCTGTCTAAATCCTACCATTGTCTCCCTTGGGAAGGATTGAGGATGACCCAGGAGTTGCCAGATGGGGTCAGGAATTCTGGCTGAACAAGTCCAAAGCAGAAAAAGAAAGACAGGACTGAGGCAAGTTCTTGGGAAGAACCAACTATCGAGCTAAGAGTATCAAATCATTGGCTAGCTCAGAAGGGCAGGCACACACAGAAGCATTCACACAAAAAACAAAGTCAGGTGTCGAGGAAAAGGGGAGGGGCAGGAAGGAAACCAGCACAGTTGCTTCAAAGAGCATCGAAATATTTGCTGCTCACCTTGAGCACTTTCTAGGCATATGTTACAAGAGCTTTCAGCCTTTTAAATACCTTTGGGTAGGGTGACCATATAATTTCATTCTCAGGATCCTTTGAGAATGAAAGGGGGTACCAAAATAATTATGTGTTGACAGCAGACATAAACTGCAACCGGCCCCAAGCAAACCAGGAATTGTGGTCACCCTATGGGCTCCTTTCCAACCTCGTATCTCTTAAAAACCTCAATGTTTTCCCCAGCAAAGCCAGAATACTAATATTGGGGGCAGCAGCAGCTTCAAAGAGGTCCAAACATTCATAGTTCAATAAAATTTTAAGATAATAAAAAGTGCTGAACTAATAACTTAAATATTTTTGTTCAATAAACTTCAATTAAAAAAAAAAAAAGAACACAAGAGGGAGTTGCCTGACAATCCAGTGGTTAGGACTCCGCAATTCCACTGCAGGCGGCACGAGTTGGATCCTGAACTAGGATCCTGCATGCCGCACGCAGCGTGGCCAAAAAAGAAAAAAAAAAAAAAAAGAATGCAGCTTTAAAAATGTATGTATGGCATAAACTCAAATCTGTCTTCAAAGAAAACAATTATATCCCTAAATGCTGTTCTCTCTTAAAAAAATAATCTAAATATTCAATGCAAAATTTAGAAGAATAACTATGGCCTAAGGGCAGGAAACCTTCACAATTCAATTACTATAAAACTGGTAAATTTTTAAAGTGCATTCATGAGTTGTTTATTTTTTAAAAAACTACAAAACATACAGGCTTCTCATACTTCTAATTAAGTCTCTAAAACAAACATAAAAATACACAAAAGTGAAAATTAAAAAAAATAAAGCTATGAAAAAGATGCTTTCAATTATGAAAGAATGTCATGACTATTAAGTTTAAAAAATCTTTAAAAAAAGGAAAAACTTCAGAAACAATATAATCATGAAAACTTGACTCAAAGTAAAACCTTACGGAAGTCAGTAACAATAGAAGAAATTAACACTCCCATTACAAAGAAAACCAGACTCAGCTTAATTTTTCTAAACTTCAATGAATAATTCTCATCATCTATGTAAATACTGTTCTAAAGTTAAACAAAAAACATGAACATCCTCTAAATTCATTTAACATTCAACAGGCTAGCATAAAGTTGATACTTAAATGTGATTAAAGACTAATTACATTTATGAATGTAAATGAAAAATTATAGATAAAGTACTGGTAACTAAGCCAGTTGTATATGGAAAGTGTAATACAACTAGATACGGTTAATTCTACGAATGGAAAAAATATTACTCTAATGCATCATATCAAAAGGTCTTTGGAGAAAGACCATATGATCATTTTAATTGATGCTGAAAGTGATCGTTTAAATTGCTGCTGATATAATAACCACATTTCTAATAATAACAATTTCAGGTCTTTCAAAATTCAGTGTTTTCCATACAAAGGCTAGACCATATCTGATTCATTTGATTTCAGTGCAACAGAAATTTCCAATTAACAGAGCCTGGTCAAAGGGTTTCACACTGTCTTTTAATCCCTAAAATGCCCGGCCAACATTTAAATATCATATACGTAGTGTTTTTGGCTCTCTACCCTATGGTGGGAAACTTCAATTACCTGAGTGGTCCTGGGACCCCCATCTGGCATTGCTGACTCATGCTGGGAGCAGACCACACAGAAGCTTCTACAGGAAACTTATCCACTCCTTTGTATTGTGAACCTCAAAGCAAAGGCTGTGCCTTTGCAAACTACATTCCCCTCCCTGATGTAATCCTTTTAGGCTTCAACCCATGGCAAGTCCCATCAGAAAACTACTTTTATGGGGAAACAAATGAGAAAGTCTCTCCCTAGACAGAGTAAAAACAGTATACTTCCCATCTTATAAATATACAGCAACCGGGACTTCCCTGGTGGCACAGTGGTTAAGAATCCGCCTGCCAATGCAGGGGACATGGGTTCGATCCCTTGGTCCGGGAAGATTGCACATGCCGCGGAGCAACTAAGCCCGTGCGCCACAACTACTGAGCCTGCGCTCTAGAGCCCGCAAGCCACAACTACCGAAGCCCGCGAGACCAGAGCCTGCGCACCGCAGCAAGAGAAGCCACCGCAATGAGAAGCGCGCGCACCACGATGAAGAGTTCGCCGCAACTAGAGAGAGCCCGCACGCGGCAACGAAGACCCAATGCAGCCCAAAAATTAATTAATTAAAAAAATATATACAGCAACCTTGGCTAACCTTGTTTAGGAACAGTTGATTCATTCATGCAATAAACATTTATCGAACATCTGCTCTGTGCCAGACACTTACTAGATGTTGCAGATACACCAGTAAATGAAGATTATCACAGAATTGACATTTTCGTAAGGAGAAGAGATAGTAAACAAATAAAAACGTAAAAAATGTCAGTGCCCAAGGAAAGAGTTACTTAGGGTCTGTCTGCTCAGAACTCCTCTCCCTTAACTTGGCCTGCTATCCACAGCCCCTTATCTGAAATGACTGATGGCTTTGGACCCTCTGTTGGAAACTATTGGTACAGTACCTGAGTTAAAACTGAGCTTTTTCCCCAAACAAGAAACTATTGTTAGGTTCTCAGTTAGGGTGCTGTTTAGAGTTTTACTGCGAAGAATAGTTTTCAGCTTAGTTAAAACCCTGTATCTTGATAGAACCATCATCACGTTAATACTGTGAGTTCAAAATTCTAGGTCCTACAGTTCCCATGAAAGTCCAAGCTCTCTGTCTTAACGACAGAGGACTTAGAAAACAGAAGAAACACTTAGAGGTATTAAGCCAATGGATACAGTTGATCATGTAAGTGAAAACATAGCCTAATGAAGGAATTTCCTAATAGCAGTTCCTTGTTGAAAAACACTAGGGTAATTTTGCTGAGACAGAGCCTGCGTCTCAGCCCACCACCCCACTCTCCTGGCAGGTGCCTGCTCATTCCTTTACTCCTGGTGGAAGAACCGGTATATTGGATCTATGGTCATCTCCTGCTCATCTCCTTGGGATAAGAACCACCTAATGTTTCTTAAATCAGAGAGAAAAGAAACACATGTTCAGGAAAACCAGGACAATGGAGTTCCAACTTGTTCCTGAGCCCAAGGCCTCATGATCAGAAAGTCATTATTTGCCTGTAAGAGTCTTTCCACAATAGCCTCCTTCAGACAACTCATCTTCTTCTTTTTCTCCTGCTCAGGAAGTTTTAAATGACACAATTTCCTATCCTGATGGTACATTCATGGATTGGGAGTTTAAGATCTCTGTCTTGTATGACATTGCTAAGGTAAGAGACCCACAAACACAAAAGACATTTATGAAAGTTAAATCTGGGAAAACAGATCTAGCAAGCTATTGCATTGGTCTTTTCATCTGTAAAATGATAATAAAAATAGTACCTATGTCATAGGGTTGTCGTGAGGATTTTATGAAACAATGCATGTGCTCCGAATAAGACCTGACAAGCAGGTATTCAATATATGTTGGCCATTATTATTTTTATTATTAAATTCTTTCTACACTGGGCTTGGGGCACATATTTTCACAGATTTGCTGGAAGTAAAAAAATCACGTAAGGTCTCAGAGAAGATGACTGAATCCTCATCTTCATAAGAGAAAATATTAAGGGCAGGCATTCGTCTTGCATGAGGCAATAATAAATCTGGACATGTATATTTCCCAGATGTGCTGTGAAAAGGAAGTGGATACCAGTAACTAGGGCCCCATTCAAGAATGAAGAAAAGCGAGTCCCGAGAGTAAGCTATGTGATACAGTCTTAAATCACTTGAAAGTCACATAGGATCAGAATCAGTTGGAAAAAATGTGACACAATACCTTATTTGGTACATTTCATCCCTGGGATCAAGGCCCAACACCAGTTTCTGCAATACCACCTCTGGCCACCAGGGGGAAGCACATCAGCTCAAAAAGGGCTTCCTCTTTCAAAACAGAATGAAACATTCTATTTCAAAATAGAATGAAACCGTTTAGACTTTAGGAAATAATCTAGCCTCACCCCTCCCTTCAGGAAGGCAAGGCCTTATTCATATTTTTTCATTGAGGTAGCAGAGGACTAGAGACATACTCAAAGTCACAGAATAAGTGGTAAGCGGAAACCCTTTAAAAAAATAGGATCAGTCTTTGCTTCATATTATATACAACTACTAAACAGAGTCTTTAGACAACTGCCTTTTACTGTGTCACCTAAATAGACTCCAAAACTAGATGCAGTGCTTAGGCAAATATCGGGGTTTTAACAACATTTTGAAAGTTAAACAATGGAATTAAATTTAAAATTTGATGGTGATTTTATCTGCATGCCAAAATAATTTCAAAACGTCATTTCTTTCCTTAAAATAATGGAGCTGCTGAAAAGTGTCATATCTCTTTGTTTTCCTGTTATCTGAAAAACTACAGGGGATGTCATATCTGCACTCCAGTAAGACAGAAGTCCACGGTCGTCTGAAATCCACCAACTGCGTGGTAGATAGTAGAATGGTGGTGAAGATAACTGATTTTGGCTGCAATTCCATTTTACCTCCAAGAAAAGGTCTGTCATGAGTGAAATTTTTACTAGTTTCCCACTTAAAAAATTTTTTTTTCTCACAAGTCCATTTAAGGTGCTCAGGAAATGGTGATACTGATCAGAAAATAAACACTTGGAGTTGTAAGAGGCATCAGCTGGGTCATTCTCCAGCACTACCCCCTTCTCAGTGTTCAGTGCATGCTTGTCCAGTTGAACAAATCTCCTCTGTGGATTTCCTTCATCTGTGTGTCCTTGATATCAGGGAGAAATCATAAAGAAGTTATTGGCTTGTGGAAGCAGGACTGCGTGAAAAAATACAGAAGTTAGAGCAGTAAGAGATCTTAGAAATCGTCTGATCGAACCCTCTTCATTTGTAGAAGACAGAATTGAAGCTCAGAGAGGTTAAGAGGTTTGCCCAAGAAGACAGAGTACAAGGCTGAGGACCCGTTTCCCAATTCTAGACTTCATTCATTTATCTGTGATAATGATAAGAAATGATGATGATAAGAAAAAAGTCTTATCAGTAAAACATATTCATACCTATCCCTTTCAGGATTGTGATGAGGGTCAAAAAAGTAACACACAAAAAAGTGACTTGTAAAGTATAAAGGGCTTTTCATGTTGAACATTCACCTGTTCTTTACTAGAATTCTGGGTTAAACAGCCTCAGAAGGCTAGGACTCATATATGCCTCAAAATACTACCTGGATCCAAAAACTAAATTCTATCTCTAATTCTACTTTGGAATCCTCTAGTTTTCCCTTAATGGAGGAAAAATTAGAGTTCTGCCCCCCACTTCTTCAGTCATGTCAAGGATGCTAGGACATTGGATTCAATCTAGTAAGTGCTTGTTGAGGACCTACTGTGTGCCAAGCAGTGCTCATCATGGAGTGGGCAAATCTCTTTCATGAAATGACTCACCTTCATGAAATGACTCACCTTGACACAGCATCAGATGAACTGCAGGCCAAATCCTATCCTTCTGGACATCATCCAGTTATACCTACCTATCTGTGGGGTCGGTTATCGGAAATTTTAGCGTAAGTAGATTTAGTTCCCTTCCCACAAGTTTAACCATTAGGATCAGTCATTCATGGATCACAAGCCACATGAATTCACAAGACACAAATTCAAAAAGGCAGTGAACAGTTGGATGGAAAACTAAATGAGGAAAGTGTGCTTCATCTTAAGCATATCACCGTACTGAAAACACATGAATCTGTAGGTTTATTTAATTGAAAATGCTGAAGGTAGAAATCTCAAAAAGTCTGCAAGGAGCTAGGTGATCCTGGAAAACCTCCAAGGGATGTTGGAGGATAATTAATTGTACGCCCTCATTATTATACATAAGATATGTGATAGCGGTCCAAAACCCAAGTCTATAGGAGCCAAACACAGGACCCAGGAGTGCTTCACTCGTGTGAAGTAGACTTGATGGAAAGCACTAGGAATAGCAGGCACACTAGTAAAACGTGAGTAAAGTGTGTGCATTCTTTTTTTAAATAATACTGCGAGCACCAAAGAAAACACATCTGTGGATAATAGCTGACTTCATGACTGCCGGTATGTCACACCCAGAAAATATCAGTGATGGTCTCTTTGTTCAAATGTTCTGTCTTTATTTTCTTTTAGGAAACATCAATATATGTATTTATAATGTTTTATATTACATAAAATATATAAATATATAGTTTTAAAATATTTATAGAGGCTTTCATAGGTTTTTGCCATATGTTCCGTAAGCTATTAAATCCTCAGCCTCTTACATTCTACTGCCTTCACCCCACAAATATTTACTGAGCGCTTCCTATACCCCAGGTTCTGGTCTAGGTAGACCTTGAGGGTTTTCAGAACTGTGATCCAGGCAGTTTTAGGGAAGGCGTTGCCATATCTCCTCACCCAAATCCTGGCATTACCTAGTCAGCTTGGAAGGCAAGTGTGTGTTCTGCCCCATCACCAGCATCAGTATGGTAGAGGGACTTAAAAATAAAAGCAAGTTGGGGACCTCTGGGCCGCTCACCCCTGCCTCAACGTCGCGATCTCAATGCTGAACGCACAGACCTGTGGACTGCCCCGGAGCACCTGCGCCAAGCCAGCATCTCGCAGAAAGGAGACGTGTACAGCTATGGGATCATCGCCCAGGAGATCATCCTGCGGAGAGAAACCTTCTACACGCTCAGCTGTCGGGACCAGAAGGGTGAGAGTCTGACCCTTCGGGGGCCTTCCCTGGGACCCAGCAGGAATTCTAGGCTGACTGAGACCCCGAGGTTTCTGTGACCACATCTCAGTCCCTCATCTGCGAAAACAATGTCGCATCTACCCTCCACACTCCACGGCGTAGTTGGAGGAATTCAGTGACAGTATGAACGTTAGAGGGCTCTGAAAAGCATAGGACAATATACCACTGCCAGCTGCCACTACCGCCAGCAATTTTGTGAGATAGAGAATCTCGCCTTACAATTTCTTGCTTTCCTTCTGATTCCAGTAAGAGACGTGTGTCTGCCTCACACCTGAACTAGATCACTCTAGCGGGACAACACATATTTCAGTTCTTACTAAGAGCAGATCTATGGTTTTGTCACATGTCCTCTCAGGGAGGAAACGTCTCCTTCCGTTCATCCAGTCCTCGCTTCACTGAGCACTTACTATGTGCCAGCTCTTACCTGTCTGGGGGATGGAGGTGGCTAAGGGATATAGGGAGGACAGGCTAGGGTCTTGGTCAGAGGAAGCCTCCCTAAGACAGCAGTCTCTGAGTTAAGTTTTAAAGGGTTAGTAGCCTTAACTTAAGGTAATCTCCTGGGTGTAAGGGGGCATGAGACCCCTTCGCCTGGTGGATCGTCCATTCATTCACATCTGTCTGTCAAGTGCTGGCCTCGGCTCTGCCACGCTCCCACTGGGTACCCACCCAGGCACGGTGAACCAGTTCAGAGTCTGGAGGCTGCTGCTAAAATTCCTTCACGCTGCATTCTTTCTTGTAATTTGAATTCTTCCTACCCCACCAGAGAAGATTTTCAGAGTGGAGTATTCCAACGGAGTGAAACCCTTCCGCCCTGATCTGTTCCTGGAAACAGCAGAGGAAAAAGAGCTGGAAGTGAGTATATCTCCCTGCATGGAGTTTTCCGGGGCCTCTGCAAGAGGACCACAGACTGGGTGGATTAACACAACAGAAATGTATACGCTTACAGTTCTGGAGGCCAGGAGTGTGAAATGAGTTGCCAGAAGGTCATGCTTCTTCCAGAGGTTCTAGGGGAGAATCCATTCCTTGCTCCTTCCAGGAGCTTCCGGTGGCTACTGACATTCCTTGGCTTGTGGCCACAATGCTCTAATCTCTGCTTCCAGGCCACATTCTCCTCTTCTGTCTGTCTAATCTCCCTCTACTTCCCTCCTATATAAGGATACATGTGATTACAATCAGGCCCATCAAGATAATCCAGATTATCTCCCCATGCAAGACCCTTCACTTAATCACATCTGCAAAGACCCTTTTTCCAAATAAGGTAACTGGTTCCAGGGGTTGGGACACACCCTTGAGAGCCGCTATCAGCCTACCATACTCCCAACTCAGGAAGGAACTCAAGTACACATTACATTCTCGATTTTTAGGAGCTAAAAGAGCAAGATTCCATGTGATACCCATATTAAGCTTATAAATACTACCTCCTGGTTAAAAAAATAAATACGCCAACATCTAGAAACAATAGAGAAATGTACTTTCACTCTTTCTATCCTTCCCCTGAAGAAAATGGAGATTTCCTCTGTATCTGCTTAATTTTTTTGTAATCCCTCACAGAGGCCTTTAAGGCCTGTGGGAAAAAAAATTCTAATTTTTTTTTTTAGAATTTTATCTGAGCTTTTATAATCCAGAAGATGGTAAGTAAATGTTTAAAAAATATTTATGGTCGGGGGGCTTCCCTGGTGGTGCAGTGGTTGAGAGTCCGCCTGCCGATGCAGGGGACACGGGTTCGTGCCCCAGTCCGGGAAGATCCCACATGCCGCGGAGCGGCTGTGCCCGTGAGCCATGGCCACTGAGCCTGCGCGTCCGGAGCCTGTACTCCGCAACGGGAGAGGCCACAGCAGTGAGAGGCCCACGTACCGCCAAAAAAAAAAAATATATATATATATATATATATATATATATATATATATGGTTGTTAAAAAATTTTTTTAAACTTTTGTTCCTTGCAGGATAAAGATAAAAATATTTTGCTTTAATTTGCAAGCAACCTGCCAGATGCGGTTATGGCCAGACTCTGCTGGGCACGAATGGGCCATTTTTACTTCTCTCTCTCTTTTGCAGCATTAAAGGCAGGTTGTACCCAGGGTTCTGAGCTACATCTGCTTCTATCCTTGCTTCTCCTCATGCCTTCCTTTCCTCCTGCTTTTCTGGATCCTGGGATTCCTCCCCACACATCAGCATCTCTCTTCTCAAACCCTCCTTTCTAGCCTGAGTGTATCCACATGTCGTTTACAACCTCTTTCACCAAAGCATCCTCCTCATCAGTTCACTCATGTGGCTGGATGTTTCTGGAATTGGATATGAGGAATTCGACTGCATTATCTAGTAGCTGGTTCCAGCAGAATACAGGCCCAAAACTCCAAGACTTGGCAATGCCTGAAGAGCATCTGCTGTTTCACGGGCGGTGCCGTATCAGCCCATTTGTCAGTGTTTCTTCTGTCCCTTCTTTGCTAAGGCATAAGCCAGCAGATCGTTTTCCCAGGCAGGAGCATCACCTAGTGGTGAGTACAGGCAACCACGGTTCCATACCGTGGTCCTGTCCCTCCCCAGGGACTCTTGTTAAGGCAAAAGAACGCAGGTAGGGACTGTATCTAGTACCATTTGTGATCCTGTTTGGGGTCAGAGTGAAGAACAAACTTTATTATTTAAAACAAATGGTTTTCACCATGCTTTTTGATCCCACAAAAGCTGCAAACAAGTGGTATCAAACGAAAGATGGTTTCACAGGCTTCCTCGCGTCTCCCTCTCCCTCCGTACCTCCCCTTCCTCGCTTCTCTTCACCGCAGCTGGGCATTGCATCACCTGGGGAACTTAAAAATGTATAGATTAGTGTCCTTTGGCCATGCAACATCTGGGACATACTTATGCTAAAGAAACTATTCATTGTTTATCTGAAATTCAAGTTTAACTGGGTGTCCTGTATTTCTATTTGCTATATCTGAGAACCCTAACAAGGCCCCTTCCCAAACCGGTTAATTCAGAATCTCCCAAAATCATAAGAAGTTTTGTGAACGCTCCCCAGGCGATTCCACGGTCAGGCATGGTTGAAAACTAATGTCATAGAGCCTCACTCATTTAGAGTCACTTGCCTCGTACTCACAGAGCCCAGCTGTTTATTGCCATCCCCTGCACAAAGCCTGCAAACGTCCGTCCGTGAAGCATTTTGTCTCTCCCATCAACCCCACCTGGTCTAAATCAGTATCTCCGTTTTCCTTAGTTTAGGATCGAAGGGAAGGGTTGATGGTTTATCACAGGATACTGAATAAAGTTCCCTGTGCTGTACACTAGGACCTTGTAGTTTATCCATTCTAAATGTAATTGTTTGCATCTACTAACCCTACACTCCCAGTCCATCCCACTCCCTCCCCCTTCTCCTTGGCAACCACAAGTCTGATCTCTATGTCTATGAGTCTGTTTCTGTTTTGTAGATAGGTTCATTTGAGCCGTATTTTAGATTCTACCTATAAGTGATATCATATGGTATTTGTCTTTCTCCTTCCAACTTACTTCACTTCCACCTCTTCTCTCTTCCAGGTCTATCTGCTTGTCAAAAACTGCTGGGAGGAAGATCCAGAAAAGAGGCCAGACTTCAAGAAAATCGAGAATACACTGGCCAAGATATTTGGGTAGGGCTGAAATTTTTACTTTTCCCTTCTAATTTCAGATTTTTCTAATAATAGCTGACATTCTGTGGCAGCTAAGTATGAGAATGTCTTTTCTAATGAAAGATCACAGACTACAATACCTGTCTCCAAAAAATTAAAACGGTATGGAGATGAACAGACCGTTTTCTTGGGGGAATAATCACTTGAAACGTTAAGTACTGTACTCAAGGGCAAAACTTGCCTGATTCGAAAATAAATTCTGACTGATCTGTTAAAAATATAGTTCCCTGACCCTTCTGCAGGTAATTAGGATTTAGAAGTCTAGTACAAATCTGCACAAAACCCTGGATAATTCTGAAGATCAAAAAGTTTCTTACAGGGCTTCCCTGGTGGCGCAGTGGTTGAGAGTCCGCCTGCCGATGCAGGGGACACAGGTTCGTGCCCCGGTCCGGGAAGATCCCACATGCCGCAGAGCAGCTAGGCCTGTGAGCCATGGCCGCTGAGCCTGCGCGTCCAGAGCCTGTGCTCCGCAACGGGAGAGGCCACAACAGTGAGAGGCCGCGTACCGCAAAAAAAAAAAAAAGTTTCTTACAGTTTTAAAATCTTAAGATCAGCAACTTCGGCCTTAAGCACTTGAGCCATGAATCGGATTATAATTCAGGATCAAAAAAAGTAACATACGGTTATCCAGTAAGACTGAACTTTAGATTTCCCATGTTTTCGGTTAGGGTGCAGGGTGAGAAAAATAGCTCTGAGGTAAGAGTTAGGAGATCTAGTTTCTAGGCTAGGATCTAATAATAGCTAGTTGTGGGACATTGGGCAAAACACCCGAACTGGGTATCAATTTTGTTGCTGGTAAAATTGGAATGAAAAAAGATGATTTCTGCAGTTCCTTCCAGCTCTTTCTGTAGTTCTCATCAAGTCAAAGACACAGATACTTAGTGAAGCTAATTTAATAAAGCCCAGGACCGAGGTGGGGTAGAGTGAAGACAATGAAAGTGGGACCATTGATTGTTTGATCTAAACCGTCATATGTGGAAAAGGAGCAGGAAATAATAAATGATTTATTATTTTCATTCCTTCCCAGACCTGTTACTAAGAGCAGATGAGATTGTATGTGTGACAGATGAAATGTAAGCTCGTGAAGATAAAACTAGGCCCCTGATATTTAGCCTTTAATATGGTGGTTCTCAACTTGGCCGCACACTGAAATCACCTGGGGAGATTTTTAAACTACTGGTGCCAGAATCCTACCCTAGAGAGTCTGGTGTAATTGATCTGGGTGCAGGCTGGCATCAGGAGTTTAAATAAGCTCCTCAAGTGATTAAAATACACAGCCAAGGTTGAGGAAACTGTTTTAATTGAATCAATTCATCATGAAATAAGATAATCCATCCCTTACACCTGCTCCCTCACTCTTTCTACCCAACTAGACTCCATAATGGTTTCCAGTAAGAATCTCCTAGGGACCTTGTTCAATATTTCTCTTAATCCCAAACCTAGCAGTTTCCAGTCATATAGGTCTGTGATAGGTCTGTGATAGAAAAGTACTCAATTTTTAACAAACATCCCGCCCCACACCAAGGGGATTATGATGTAGTCCATCTTTTTGAGTACAGAAATGGCAACTTGTAATTGTTGTTGTGATAATGAAATGGTATGATCTATTCATCCCTTCACAACAGCTGTGTGGGACTCAGCGTGCCTCCCGACTGGGCTCTGCACCTAGGCGTGTCACAGGGTCACGAGAAGCTGCCATCTCATCTAAGTTGTCTTGATCTAACAAAATACGGCAGAGTCAGGGCTTTTGCTCTAGGACCCTGACTCTGTCTGAGGAGATACTATATAAGGCGCAGCTTTACTTTTCTTGGTCCTTTTCTTATGTTCCCCTTTATTGCAAGTTGCTCCTTATTAAAATTTTAGAAAATATGAATAAGCAAACAAGAAAGTAAAAACATCACCTAGTTTTTAATAGATGGCCACCAGTTTTCAAAAATTAAAAATGGGACGATAATTTTTGCTGTTTTATAAACTGGCTTTTTTCACTTATTAATATAGAGGTAGCATCTTTGTGTGTACCACGATTCTAATTTGTGTTTAATGATACATTCATATTCCATCGTTTCATATTTCAATCACTTTTTGTTACACATTTAGGTTACTTTTGAATGTTTGCTTGTGAAGAATCCCGTGGCTTTCTTTGTAGTTAACTTTCAGCACATGCGTGATTGTTGCCTTCGGATAATTCTTAGAAGTAGGGTTGATGGGCCGATCGGCACGAGCATTCTTAAAGCTTATGACACATTTTACCAGATTTCCCTCCAGAAAGGCTGTAATGTATCTTTTTCTTCCGTCTTACCTACATTGATTACCATTGTGCTCACATTTGTTTTTCTTTTTTTAAAATGTTATTTCTAAAAAAAAAAAAAAAATGTTATTTCTTTGATCCTTCCTCAGGTTAAAAATTTTTGCTACATTTGTTGGTCATTTTTATCCTTTCTTAGTTTAATTACCTGTCTATGATATTTGCCCATTGTTTTAATGGATGTTCATGTTTTCTTGATAATATGGAGACCTCTTCATCTATCACTACCTACAGCCTTTTCCATGACCAAAAAAATGAAACTTACATGGATACCTTGATCCGACGTCTGCAGCTATATTCCCGAAACCTGGAACATCTGGTGGAAGAAAGGACACAGCTGTACAAGGCAGAGAGGGACAGGGCTGACAGGCTTAATTTCATGTTGCTCCCAAGGTAAGGAAGTCCTCCCGCGGACGTGATCTTCCAGACTCCGCAGACATGCTCAGCCCTTAAGGCTGAAAGCCAAAGCGTATTTGTCTAACATTGGTTTTCTCTGTATTTATATAGGATTTTGGTCCCTTTCGCATATTCTTCAACAGATTGTTGTGTTTAAAAATGCACGTATCCCCACTTTTACAGGCACTGCTCTAGATACACTTGAACAATTTAATATGTACAGAACATGTATTTATTCTGGATGCTAGTAAATAAATAAGAAGCATACTGTATTAGGCGTTGTGACAACATTATTGAATTTTTTATGTATATAAAGCCATATGTTTTAGAGTGGTTTCTATCAGTCTTATTTTACACTTCTATGACACTGTGAACTAAAGAAGAAGAATTTTTAAAAATCAAAGGTGAAGAAAGAGACCAAAAAATTTGTCTGTTTCAATAATAAGCTATAGGTAGAATCTCTAAACCTTCAGAAGTAAACTGCTCACCTTCAGACTGAGTTGGAGTGTATTAAAATAAATTATGCTATTTCCCACCAAACATTTTAATTTAGTGCTGATTTAAATATAACATGTTGTTACTTAGTGCATTTTAGTCAAGTTTATATTGCACAATAAAATATGAGAAAATATATTTTTTTAAAAAATTCATGTACCTTGCTAAGCCTTGCCCTGGTTTGCACTGTCTGAATAGCTAGAAGAAAGAGGCTGTTTTCCAGTGGCTGTGCGGTACCATGGAAGGAGCATGGACGGTAGAGTTAAGGTGACCTGGGTTCCAGCACCTCTTGGCCACTTCTGCTAAGTCTGGGACCTTAGGCCAGTCACTGTCTCTCCCCAGTCCAAAAATGGAAATTAAAGTTTTCCTACAGAATCTGTGAGCTTTAAGGCATTTTCAGGCAGTAAGTGTTAGTTTCTTTGCTTTCTTCTGTCTGCCTCAAAGTAGAGGCCAAATTACAAGAAGTGGGAGCATCTTTAGTGGAGAAGGTATGGTCCCACTCTCCCCAGGTGTCTCATCACACAGGCATCTACGGGCTGACCTCTATTTTGTGAAACAATATTACAACCATGACAGAAGAGAAAGAAATTAAGGTTGAAATCCCAGTTTAACGTTTTATAAGTGTTGGTCCTCAGATAATAACTAAGAAATGTTAAGATAAGCAAGAAATTAAAATGTGAACAGCTGGGAAATAGGTTGGACCAAGGGGCCCACAACTGTCACAAGTGAGAGGTAATGTTCTCTGCTCAATGAATGATAAACTGTCCTCTTAGATTAAGGATAAGCGAGGCAGTGTCGCATTGGGTGAAATCATGGAAACTGAGGTCAGCTAGGCCTGACTTCAAATCATGGTTCCACCACCTACTTGTGATCTGCAGCCTTGGACAAGTTACCTAAACACTGCAAGCCTGTTTCCCGTCATAGGCTGGCTCAAAGAATCCTCTAAAATAATGTGCACAATATAAGGTACTTAGCACAGTGTCTGTAACGTCCATGGTTGTTATTACTATGCATAGTAGTTATGACTTTTATATATTACTTGCATTAATTATTATTTTATTTTGAACCCATGCTCATTGAGCATATCAGCTCTACATTAATAAAGGAATGATTTTGAGCTCGTATGAGTTGTTTTCTAAATAAAGAAATAGTTTCTCTTCTACAAGCCTGAATGGGGAGGTAGGAGTTACACACATGCCCTGTTCAGCCATCTGGCCCTGAAGAAAGCCTAATGCAGAACCCATGTGCCCTCAGCCTGGCATTGGTAGCCTGGGCATAGGCTGGAGCCCTTATTATTCACTTCAGAGATGGAGATTCTGTTAGTGCTCTGCGAACGTTCTTTATGTAGTGCATCAGTCCTTGCCTGGCCTTTCGCGCTGAGTTGTGACAAAAACAACGTCCTGACGGTTTAGCTGCCTTCCCAGCTTTTTATCACTGATGGTTTTAACCAGTAATGACACTCACGATTTGAAACAGCTGGCTCAGCACCGTGGATTTTTTTCCTACCCTTGGTTCAGTGTGCCATGTTGGCCACTAGACGGGAGATGTTCCTGTTGGATCACCAAAGACTGTAGGGCAAGGGCTGCAATACACAGTGACTGCAGGGCAAGTCACTTTGATCATTTATATACAAGTTCTTTATATTTGCAAAAGAAAACTAAAATATACATGCATGACACCTAGACGAATCCAAAATAAATATTACAGCAAAATTGTGAATAAGTTGCAGGTAAGAGCTAGACGCTTATTTCACGTACTCCTGGGGGGTTTGAAACAGGTTAAAATAGAAGTTTTTTCTACCTATGGAAAAAACTACCTACCTGTGGGAAGCACTTCTAAGACACCTACTCTGTATACTGTGTCAGCAAAAACCTGTTATCAAAGTTCACCAGGTTAAGTCATAGCCCTTCCTTCATTGATCCACCAACATTAGTTTCTCTCTCAGTTAACATACTATTTTCTAAGCTCATATGACTTTTCAGCTATAAGCAGTAAAATGAAGGGCAAAGATGGCGAAATATCCAATCTTATCCTTAGTCTATGTAGCCTCCAAATAATCTGCACCCGTCTACGGGGCACGTAAAGAACCGCCGCCCCAGACATGCCCCTGCGAATCTGACCAGCCACACGGCGGGGACGGTTTTCAAGTTCCCAGATTTCATCGTCGTACCCACTGAAAGGACCTCCCTTGATGCTCTGGAGGTTTTCTAAATGAGTTTTGGGAATGCTGGTGGTTGGTTGGCTGTCTGTTTTCCAGGAAAGTGCCAGACCTTCTTCCTTTACTGCAGCCAGCACACCTCCAAATCTTCCCCATCACCCCGAGGATCCGAGGCCTGGGTTGTGCAGGAATGTGAAGGGTGGAAGTTACTGAGTTCCAGCACTGGCTCTGCCCTCACTGGCTCTGGGACCTTGTGCAAGTCATACTTTTTATTTGGTTGGGTTTTTCTGGCTGCACCGTGCAGCTTGTGGGATCTCAGTTCCCCGACCAGGGATTGAACCCAGGCTCTGGACAGTGAAAGCATGGACTCCTAACCACTGGGCCGCCAGGGAACTCCCCATACTTTCTTTTTAAGCCTCAGCTTTCTCATCTGGAAAAGTAAGGGATTTTATGACCTCTGTCGTACCTCCCAGCTTGCAGGTGGTCCGTACTCTGGTCCTTTACCAAGTGATCCCAAAGGCAGACAGGGAACACGCAGCCTCATGTCAGCACCCCTCCACCCCATTTACTCAATGAAAAGGCAACTTGGCACATAAAGGAAGCGTGGCATCTCTTCTTGTGGTTCTTCTCTCTTAATTCTGAGCCTAATATACTGCCCTTTATGTCTGTTCAACAGAGATAGTCTAAGTTGCTTCTATTCGACTTGTGCAGTTTTAGCAGAATTTTAACTTGTTTACGTGGTAACTGATGTTGCTTTTTAAAGGACCCAATTCTGCTCCAAAATGTTTCAAATAAATTCGGGTTCAGAATATATCAGAATTCATTTTAAATACATTATTTCTTCATAGTGATATTAAACAAGGCCGTGTTAAATATGCCAGGGAAGTAAAACTATTTACTGATGAGAAAGTCAGATCTGATAGCTATCCTGAGTCAAGCTCTTACATCAATGACACACTCTCCTTCTCGGCTTCTGGATGTAGAGCGCTATCTAGAAGAAGCTATCAATAGAGAGGTAAAAAGTGAGCAAGTATTAGGATTGTGTAGGTATTACAGTTATGTGTACATGTATATTAGTGTTATAATCAAGTATTAATACTGAACCTCCTATTCATCTGAGGTCAAATACATGTGTTATGTGTGTGTGTAGTATATTCATACATTCGGTTCATGCAAACTGTCTTTGCTTCCTAGCCACACAATTCACTGGAAATCCCCAATTTTAGAATTCCTGGTGGACAATTAGTACAGCCTCAAAGATTTCTGTAGGGGAAGAAGAAATTTGCTGAAGTTGAAGGCCTTGTTTTTCACTTCCTCATCTAGGCTGGTGGTCAAGTCTCTGAAGGAGAAAGGCATCGTGGAGCCTGAACTATACGAGGAAGTTACAATCTACTTCAGTGACATTGTGGGGTTCACCACCATCTGCAAGTATAGCACCCCCATGGAAGTGGTGGACATGCTCAATGACATCTATAAGAATTTTGACCACATTCTCGATCACCACGACGTGTACAAGGTAACCACTTCACCTAATAGGCTGAATGATGGTTCAGCCCCAGGTCAGCAGAACCAGAATTGGTTGTTTCTGTTATTACAGTTCTCCGTCGCTACCCACTAGCCCCTCTGCCCCAGGATTGGTTCCAGGACCCCCATGGATCCCCAAATCCCCAGATGCTCAAGTCCCTTGTATAAAATGGTATATTTGCATATGACCTATGTACATCCCCATGTACTTTAAATCATCTCTAGATTACTTATAATACCTAATACAATGTAGGTGCTATATAAATAGTTGCTGGAGTGTGGCAAATTCAGGTTTTACATTTTGGAACTTTCTGGAATTTTGTTTAAATATTTTTGATTCATGTTTCGTTGAATCCACAGTGCGGAACCTGTGGGTACAGAGGCCAGCTCTACTCAGGTCTTGTCCTTTGTAATTTAAGATTTAATGAATTAGTGGTTGAATCTGAGCTAAAAGTGAAGGGAAGTGGAAGAGTAAGAAGGGTCGTAAGTCGAAATGACCTTGTGACTTTAAGGACCGATATGAAAGACACAACATACAGTCCAGCAGGAATGAATTTGGGGTGTTTAATTTAGGGAAAATGGTTTACTCTTCAGTCATCTTCACAAAATGGGCAGTGTTTAGGCTGATTATGAATGAAGGAGAGAAGGTACCAGAGTTATTCTCAGGAGAATTGGAATCTTTTGTCATTGTTGCTGAAGTAGCAAGCATCGTTCGAAGAAGAGTAAAGAACAGAGCTGGATCTGTTGCCTGACCAGGGTGCCCGCCAGTTCCGGGCTGATAATGTCTGGATCGGAAGAGTAAAGGAGAATTGCATTCCCACATTTTCATGTTGGAAAAGCAGCAGAGCATGTGGAACAAGTAACTTCAGAATTAGAGCTCTTTATTCAAATCCCAGGTTGCCCCACCTCATTGCATGACCTCATAAAATATAGTATTTAATTTCAGCAAGTCTCAATCTACCTATCAGTAAAATGGCACAATAATACCTAACTCAATGGATTATTTTGAAGATTACTGAGATAAACAATATGACTAAAACTCTGTATGCTTAAGTTTAGGGGTCATTCATGTAACAGTCTGTTATGATGGTTTTACCCACAGGAAGGACTTCCTTTTAGGATTTATCTTAGCCCAGTCCTCACCCTATGTAGATCAGAAAGCCATGCTAGCAAGAGTTCCCGTTGAATAGAAAATGATTATGCATTTCTTTTTTTTTTTTCCTTTTTTGTGATACGCGGGCCTCTCACTGTTGTGGCCTCTCCCGTTGCGGAGCAGAGGCTCTGGACGCGCAGGCTCAGCGGCCATGGCTCACGGGCCCAGCCACTCTGCGGCATGTGGGATCTTCCTGGACCGGGGCACGAACCCGTGTCCCCTGCATCGGCAGGCGGACTCTCAACCACTGCGCCACCAGGGAAGCCCGATTATGCATTTTAGAGATACTCAGCAAAATGAAGTTAACTAACCAACACACGTGAACAATGTATATGATTATGAAAATAATATTAAAAGGGAGAACACTTATCAAAGAATAAATAGGTCTACTGCCTATTACAAGAAAAGTGATTGGAATCATCATAGTACAAGAAAGTGTATTATATATTAGAGAAACCTATAATTATTATTATTTTTTTTTTAACATCTTTATTGGAGTATAATTGCTTTACAATGTTGTGTTAGTTTCTGCTATATAACAAAGTGAATCAGCTATACATATACATATATCCCCATATCCCCTCCCTCTTGCGTCTCCCTCCCACCCTCCCTATCCCACCCCTCTAGGTGGTCACAAAGCACCGAGCTGATCTCCCCGTGCTATGCGACTGCTTCCCACTAGCTATCTGTTTTACATTTGGTAGTGTATATATGTCCATGCCACTCTCTCACTTCGTCCCAGCTTACCCTTACCCCTCCCGGTGCCCTCAGGTCCATTCTCTACATCTGTGTCTTTATTCCTGTCTTGCCCCTAGGTTCATCAGAACCTTTTTTTTTTTTTTTTTTTTTTAGATTCCATATATATGTGTTAGCATACGGTATTTGTTTTTCTCTTTCTGACTTACTTCACTCTGTATGACAGACTCTGTGTCCATCCACCTCACTACAAACAACTCAATTTCGTTTCTTTTTATGGCTGAGTAATATTCCATCGTATATACGTGCCACATCTTTATCCATTCATCTGTCGATGGGCACTTAGGTTACTTCCATGTCCTGGCTATTGTAAATAGTGCTGCAATGAACATTGTGGTACATGACTCATTTTGAATTATGGTTTTCTCAGGGTATGTGCCCAGTAGTGGGATTGCTGGGTCATATGGTACTTCTATTTTTAGTTTTTTAAGGAACCTCCATACTGTTCTCCACAGTGGCTGTATCAATTTACATTCCCACCAACAGTGTAAGAGGGTTCCCTTTTCTCCACACCCTCTCCAGCATTTATTGTTTCTAGATTTTTTGATGATGGCCATTCTGACTGGTGTGAGATGATATCTCATTGTAGTTTTGACTTGCATTTCTCTAATGATTAGTGATGTTGAGCATCCTTTCATGTGTTTGTTGGCAACCTGTATATCTTCTCTGGAGAAATGTCTATTTAGGTCTTCTGCCCATTTTTGTATTGGGCTGTTTGTTTTTTTGATACTGAGCTGCTTGTATATTTTGGAGATTAATCCTTTGTCTGTTGTTTCATTTGCAAATATTTTCTCCCATTCTGAGGGTTGTCTTTTCATCTTGTTTATGGTTTCCTTTGCTGTGCAAAAGCCTTTAGGTTTCATTAGGTCCCATTTGTTTATTTTTGTTTTTATTTCCATTTCTCTAGGAGGTGGGTCAGAAAGGATCTTGCTGTGATTTATGTCATAGAGTGTTCTGCCTGTGTTTTCCCTAAGAGTTTTATAGTGTCTGACTTTACATTTAGGTCTTTAATCCATTTTGAGTTTTATAATTATTTTTTGTCAAATAGTTTATAAAAAATGATAAGAGCCAAAGATGACTTTTCTGGTATTTAGAGGTGTTCCTAAAATTATATAAAACCATTCAGATTATTTCAACATTGATAGAATTGTCATCACATCTGGATGATTCATATTATTATAAAGTACTTTCATATGGTTAAAATCCTTTATAGCGGGGACTTCCCTGGTGGTGCAGTGGTTAAGAATCCGCCTGCCAATGCAGGCGACATGTGTTCAAGCCCTGGTCCAGGAAGATCCCACATGCTGCGGAGCAACTAAGCCCGTGCACCACAACTACTGCAGCCCGTGTGCCTAGAGCCCGTGCTCCGCAACAACAGAAGCCACCGCAATGAGAGTCTTGTGCACCGCAACGAAGAGTAGCCCCTGCTTGCCACAACTAGAGAAAGCCCGTGCGCAGCCACGAAGACCCAACACAGCCAAAAATTAATTTAAAATATATTTTTTAAAAAATCCTTTATAGTTGTTTTATCAACTATTTCACTAGGCTATAAAAACCCTGAAGAAATTAGCATAGAACTGGTCTTGAACTAGTCCCAGAAAAAGCGTACGGGGCCATGCTCATACTGAGTTCTCGAAAAATTTTTTTTTTTTTTGCACTACACGGGCCCCTCACTGTTGTGGCCTCTCCCGTTGCGGAGCACAGGCTCCAGACACGCAGGCTCAGCGGCCACGGCTCACGGGCCCAGCCGCTCCGTGGCATGTGGGATCTTCCCGGACCGGGGCACGAACCCGAGTCCCCTGCATTGGCAGGTGGACTCCTAACCACTGCGCCACCAGGGAAGCCAATTTTTTATGTGACTAACTGCTTCTGTTTGATTTCTTGTGCCATTAGAAGGGGCAGATTCACTAATGAGAAACTACTTCCACAGGTGGAAACCATTGGTGATGCCTACATGGTGGCTAGTGGTTTGCCTAAGAGAAATGGCAACCGACATGCAATTGACATCGCCAAGATGGCTTTGGACATCCTCAGCTTCATGGGGACCTTTGAGCTAGAGCATCTTCCCGGCCTCCCAATATGGATTCGCATTGGAATTCACTCTGGTATGTAGTTGAGCATTGTAGCAATCGAGAACCGTATGTACCTGTGTGCACTGACTAAATCAGAAAGGTTAAAGGATCTTCAGACGTGATCAATTTTCACATGAGGTTTACTCTTGAATCCTCCTGCCAAATACGAAGTCCCGTTACACATCCTGACATAATTAGACCTATAATTAGTCTCTGGAGAGTTCTAGGAAACGACAGCCGTGACAGCACTCATGGAACGATAAACACCCACCAACCACGAACTAAAATACCAAGCCCCGGACTTCCTATTCAAGCTGCCCTATTTACTATGTCATTTATCTCTTCCCCATTCCCTCCCTCTCCCCCACCCCCAACTTCTGTGTATTTTTTTCCCACTGAAATATTACAGTATCTTAAATGGATTATGTTATCTACAGGGGGAAAACATATCTGTTCAGATCCCTACAATAAAAGGGCGTTTATGTTCCCCCAACCCCTCAGTGGTACAGAAAGTACATGGATCACTTTAAAGACCATGAACCTTATCCAACCTTGAATGTAGAGATTTGAGAAGATGAGTTACGAATACAGCAAGTCCCCTACATACGAACCTTCAAGTTGCGAACTTTTAAAGATGCAAACATGCGTTCGCGTGTCCAGTCATGTAAGTTAGTTCACATGTCTGGCGTATGTTGTCACATGCGTGCATCCTCTACAAGTGGTTGTGCTTTTGTGTACTTTACTGTATAGTACTGTTTAGAGTACAGTAGTACAGTGTCTTTATTTCGAGCCCAGGATGTCCAGAAGTGAGCGAGCGTAAAAGCAGCGGTGACGTAGCTGGTACTAGTGTGCTTTTCAAGGTACTGTACTGTAAGATTAAAAATGCGTTCTTTATTTTTTGTGTTTGTTTTTTATGTATTATTTGTGTGAAAAGTATTATAAACCTATTACAGTACAGTACTATATAGCCAATTGTGTTAGTTGGGTACCTAGGCTAACTTTGCTGGACTTACAAACAAATTAGACTTAACACGCTCTTGGAACAGAGCTCGTTCCTATGTAGGGACTTATGGTATTACAGAAAAATATAGTGGTAGAGGAACTCAGAAGTCATCTAGATTAATCTTTTACAGGGCATAAATTATAGTTTCCAAGATAAGTAATAATACAACCACGTTTAGAATAAATAATCCCAGGACTCCCTGAAAACTCAGTATTTCCAAAGTCAGCTCACTCCTTTATCAAATAGTTGTAATTGTTAGACAGTCTTTCCTTGTGTTAAAGTAAATCACATCTCCCTATAATTTCTTGTCATTGCCCCTTTTTCTGCCCTCCAAGCCTCACAGAAGACACAGGGTAGAGAAAACCCAAGAGGTCACTCCAGGCTTTGTGGTGAGGGCCAGACAACTGCATTTGCAAAAGTCATCCTGTATCCACCGTGCCTAGCACAGAGTCAGACAGTAAATATTTGGTTGAGTAATGAATCAGTGAGAGTCTCAGAGTGACAGTAACTAGAAGTTAAAAACTGCTGCCACATCTTTGACAGCCAGGAACATAGCTGTGGCCTTCCCCAGTCATGTCACAACCAAATTGTCGTAGATGTTTACATGTACACATAAGGGAACTGTTCGGCATCTCCCTGACCCATCACAAATTGTCGGGCCTGGAGGAAGGGACAGCAGCAGAACTGATGGAACCAGGGAGAGAGAATGGAGCTCTGGGTCCTGGTCCCCTCTCTTTTCCTCTGTGACCTACTCAATGCCTGAGTGACTGCCAGGGCCCAGGCACTGTCACATTGGGCTGGAATGAGAGTAAATAGTAGACATATATACCGGGATGGGTTTAATCCCTAAAAAAATTAAAAGGTTGCAGTTAAATATTGATAGTTGAAGACAAAACATAACATCTGCAGGCATTTTCCACCTCCAGGCCCTTCCCAGTTTTATCATTCCATTTTTGAAGTGACTAGTCAAGACACAGCCTTGGGAAGCTCAGAGATCTTTTTTTTTTTTTTAATTTATTTTATTGAAGTATAGTTGATTTACAATGTATTAGTTTCTGGTGTACAGCAAAGTGCTTCATTTATACATACATATACTAGTTTGCATCTGCTAATCCCAAACTCCCAGTCTGTCCCTCCCCTCATCCCCCCTCCCCCTTGGCAACCACAGGTTGTTCTCTATGTCTGTGAGTCTGTATCTGTTTCGTAGATAAGTTCATTTGTGTCATATTTTAGATTCTGGGAAGCTCAGAGAGCTTCTAATCAAGTAGCTGCTGTTGTTTTTGCTTGTTTTTTATTTCTCTGTGGTTTGTTTTGTTCTTTGCATTGAACCTAACAGGGGAGGGTTCAGTATTTTTATGTTTTCAGTGTTCATAAACAATGAACAACTCAATGTTCAATTTTTTCAGTGTTCATAAACACAGAGTATTTGTAGGACGAATCTATCAAGAAACTCATAGAGGTCAAAACCCAATCAGCCAACCATAAAATCAATAGTTACCTCTACCCAAAACCCGATTTTGCAGTTTCTGAGTTAATCTTTAACTTCGAAAATTTTAACTCCTTGCATTCCATCATTCCACACAAATGCTTGCGTGAGCAAACCCTTCTTTCCTACCTGATATGCCACTGTGCATCGCCTTGCCTTGGCTTTTATTCTTCTTTTTGGAGTATCCTTGTGCGACAGGCTCCCCATTCTGTATTCACATGGTGCATGAAATGCTCAGGGAAGAAGATGCCAAGTCCTTGTCTTCTGGGTCTTCCATCATCAGGCCACCAATGCCAAAAAGGCTACTCTGACTTAAATAAAAATAAAATAAAACAAACTTGGGCCACTGAGCCTTCGAGTGTACTGTGCCCTCCAGCAGTTCAGAGCTCCGGGCTGTGTGGCTGGAAGAGGAAGCAAGCAGTGGGATAGTCTTCATCCTTCCTGAGAACCTTCTATTTAATATATTAAAGAGGGGGACTTCCCTGGTGGTCCAGTGGTAAAGAATCCACCTTAACAATGCAGGGGACGCGGGTTCCATCCCTGGTCAGGGAACTAAGATCCCACATGCTGCGGGGCAGCTAAGCCTGCTGAGCTCACGCACCTCAACTAGAGAGCCCGCGTGCTGCAAACTACAGAGCCCAGGCGCTCTGGAGCCCACGCGCTACAACTAGAGAGAGAACCCACACGCCACAACTAGAGAGAAGCCCACGTGCTGCGACAAAAGATCCCGTGTGCCACAACTAAGACCCAGTGTGGCCGAAAATAAATTAAATAAATAAATAAATAATAAATAAATCTTTATATATGTGTGTGTATATATATATACACATATATATAGACATATATATACACATATATATATATATATACACACACACACACACACACATATATATATAATCTCAAGGAGCACTTTACACCTCTGCAGCCTGGATCTCTGGATGCCTTGTTTCTTGCCAATGCGCTTCTCTGTGCTAGAGCAAAATACTTTCTGAAAGCGTGATTTGAATAATGGTGCTCCCCCAGTGAATACATTGACTTAAAGCAAAAGTCACAGGTCGCATTTCCCACCTTGAACCGCTTCTCCATGAAATGAGGTATCGCGCATCGTGACGCTGAGAAGAGGCCTGCCCCCCCCCCCCCCCACTCCACTGTGTGACTTCTTTTGCCTCCACCTCTTGCTTTCTGTCCCTCTCAGGTCCCTGTGCTGCCGGAGTTGTGGGCATCAAGATGCCCCGTTATTGCCTGTTCGGAGATACAGTCAACACAGCCTCGCGGATGGAATCCACTGGCCTCCGTAAGAAGGGAGACTGCTTTTTTTAGAGGAGAGAGATTCTGTCTTCCAGCAGAGGGGAATTGTAGGATAAAATGCAGAATAAGTGCCAGTGAGATGAAGAATGACTCTTCACACTGACTGGCCGTGAGCCTGGGTCAATCCGGTCCTTGCTACAAATGGCCGTTTACTGATAACTTTTTTTTTTTTTTTTTTTTTTTTTTTGCGGTACGCGGCCCTCTCACTGCTGTGGCCTCTCCCATTGCGGAGCACAGGCTCCGGACACGCAGGCTCAGCGGCCATGGCTCACGGTCCCCGCCGCTCCGCGGCATGTGGGATCTTCCCGGACCAGGGCACGAACCCGTGTCCCCTGCATCGGCAGGTGGACTCTCAACCACTGTGCCACCAGGGAAGCCCTACTGATAACTGTTTTATTCTTCCTTTTTGACTCAGTTTTAGACTGTTATCATTAATTTGGGTTCATTTTCAATGCATTCAGGCATGCTCTACCTGGAATAGCCATGAAATTTAGCATAGATCCATGTAAGTTAAACAGAAATTCCGTTTAACAGGAATCTATTCAGGCAAGGGTATGAACAGAAGAGCCTGAAGGGAAGGGCTAATGATGCCATAGCTTCTGCTTGTCTCTATATTGCCTGCAGACAGGAAGGAGTTCCTAGGACATTTAAAGTACGATGGTAGTTACACATATAGCCCGTAAAGCTGTGGCGTTGGACTTGGTTCCTGGAAGGAGCCTGATATCTGTGGCAGCAGCCACCATTTACATGGCCTCACAGGCATCAGCTGAGAAAAGGACCCAAAAAGAAATTGGAGATATTACTGGTGTTGCTGATGTTACAGTCAGACAGTCCTACAGACTAATCTGTCCTCGGGCCCCAGATCTGTTTCCTACAGACTTCAAATTTGATACCCCTGTGAACAAACTACCACAGCTATAAATTGAGGCAGCTGATGTCAAGCTCCTATGCACACTGAACTTTGCCTGATGTACATAGCCTTACAAAGTGCTGGATTGAGCCTTTAATAAGGAAAAACGAAGGACATGGTATGCATTCCAGGGCTAAATTTTTTTTTAGGTTTACTTTTTTTTAATTTATTTTTGGCTACGTCAGGTCTTCGTTCCTGCACGCAGGATTTCTCTTAAACTGAATAGAAATTCAGTGGGTTAGATACAGAGTATATACCCTGGTTCACTTTCCTATTCCTCTTTTATTTGGTTTTCCTTGGAATTGGTTTTAATAAAGAAAATGATAAGTATTTGTTATATGCAAAAGCTTATATTGCGTTTTTCTGGCAAGGTAGAGGCAGTGTGTGTTACATCTAGTAAATGCTCAATAAATACCTATGACTATGATAATATCAGAAATATATACAAGAGAGAAAGAAAGCATTGGTAATGTGTGTGCGGGCTTACAAAACACTGGTGGTAGTATGGTATTTTGGCAGTCTACTGACAACCTGATACTGGTTTGAACTAGAAAATCACGGTGTAAAGGAAATAATAAGGTTGGGGCCAAACAGACGGGTTAAAATCATAACTATACAAGTCACTGTCTGTGTAAGCTTGGGAGGAAGTTACCTCATCTTTCTAGGCATCAGAAAGTTGAAGATACAAATTGAGGATGGGATTCCAACCTTGCTGGAAGTGTTTCTGGAAGGAGTTGAAGTGATGTGTTTTAAGCATTGAGCAGCCCTCTGGTACATGGTAGGCAGGCAATATGGGGTTTTCATTATTCTTATACTGTTGTTACTGTCTGTGGCACCCAGAGTGGGAAGGTGTTATATAGTAATCAATCAGTGAACGAGATTGCCCTCACCACTTGTTTGTTAGAAGGATAACCGTTACCCGGGAAGAGTAAAATACGAGAAAATCAAGGCTCTATAACTCTCTCCAGAATCTTCACCTTGCCGCCAACACTTCAGCTACTTATTGGAATGTCTATATGGAGACACCAGAGCAAATTCCACCTTTTAAGCTCAGCACCACAGGCTAAATCCAAAGCCAGGCCCAGGGGTTCCCACTCTGAGCTGGGATGAGAATTTACGGGGCCAACCTAAGGAGCCCCCTCACTCAGGACCCTCTCTCTTCCCATGTGCGATAATAGTTCTTATCTCACTGATGATATTTTTTAGTATTTTTACTGCAGTATCTAAGCTGCCAAGAGCCCCTGTAATAAATATTCTGGCTCAAGGGGAAACCAATGGTGCCACATAATAGCTCTCAAAACGGGTGAGATTTTCATTGATCTGTTTCGCATTTCCAGCCTTGAGAATTCATGTGAGCGGCTCCACGATATCCATCCTGAAGAGAACGGAGTGCCAGTTCCTGTATGAAGTGAGAGGGGAGACGTACTTAAAGGTAAGGAGTCCACGGAGACAGCACCCAGAGGAAAGCTCTCACCAGCACCTGGGGGATGCCTCCTTTGAGACTGGACATCCAATGATCAGTATATTGATGAGCATGAGAATGAAGGGCGCTTTCCTGCTCTCCCCGCAATGATCACCCACCCTCCCCTGTAGGAGAAGCTACCACCGAAGACTATAAACTCAGAACATCCCTTTACTCCAAAGACCCCTCCTGATGTTTTGAACTATGGCCACTACGTTATAAAATGCTGCCACCATTTCTTTCACCTGTATCCGGGTTTGTCCCCAGTTCCCCCTCCACTCCCAAGAGCTAAGTCTATTGCAGGACTACTTTAGTCAAAGCCCCCCTCTCCCCACTTATGTCCTCGCTTTTACTGCAAGACGCTGCTACTCCCTAAGGCCACCTTTCTTGCTGTACTTTTCTGAGCTTCTGGACCAGTGAACCTCAAGGTGTGGCTCCACATTCTGCCTCAGCATCGTCCGGGCACTTGTTACAATGCGGATGCCTGGACTCCCCCCACGGGCCTGCTGAGTCAGACCCTCCTTGGGTGTAGATCAGAAATCTGTGCTTGAAACACGTACTCTATGTGACTGTGATGCGCAGGGAGATGGAAGAATCCCCGTTTCAGATGTGCCACGCTGCCCCGCACATTTAGAACAGCAGCCCTCGAGAGCCTCCGCGCGTCTCCAGGTGGCCCACCGGCTGCTAGTTGAAGGCAACCGCACTCACAGTCGGTCTGAAGCCAATGATCGGCCAAGACCACCTGCCTCTACTAGTCATAGGGCCGCTGGCCTCTACTCTGTGACAACTGGGAGAGCCTCCTTTCAGGTAGTTGTGTCCAAACATCACACTTGCTTTTTTAATTCTCCGTAAATACATTTTCTGCAGGGTGTTCCCCCCAAAACAGAAGTGGTCTAAGGATTATTACAGTCCAAACAGAGCCCCAAACCACAATTGTTTTGAATGAGTGATTTTTAAAAATATAAACATCCGGGCTTCCCTGGTGGCGCAGAGGTTGAGAGTCCGCCTGCCGATGCAGCGGACACGGATTCGTGCCCCGGTCCGGGAAGATCCCACATGCCGCAGAGCGGCTGGGCCCGTGAACCATGGCCGCTGAGCCTGCACGTCCGGAGCCTGTGCTCCGCAATGGGAGAGGCCACAACAGTGAGAGGCCCACATACCGCAAAAAAAAAATAAATAAACATCCAGTCTCCTTTTCAAATACAAGCTCTAGCAAAACCAGAATTGCCTGTGTTTCCCTTTATTTTATAGCCTCCAGATGGGCCCAGCCAGTGGTACTTAGTGAATGTTTATTACGATGCACATGCGTTTATAATTTACACACTTAATGTGGGGAAACTGTGGCACAAGTTTCGTGGCAAAGTTTTGGGACAAAAAGGGCCGGAATAAAACGTAGACAACAGAAACCAGTTGGATTCGTTGGCGTAGCAGGATTGCAGAGGAATGTTCTTCCTTCTTCATTTAGAGCTCTTGTGCTGTTGCTGTGGTGATATTTTGAAATATCTTTTGGGAAAAAAGAAAATTCTACTTTGAAAAAACACGTCTGGTGGATGAGAGACTTATTTTTTAACAGGCACTTAGACATAAAGATCGGTGTACAGATAATGCAAATCATATCAGGAACAGGTGCTGTCCTAAAATATAGGCGCTGATGAGAAACTCAGAGGTGAAATGTCTTTTGGAAACAGATACTTGTCAGAACAGTGGGCTAGAGTCGACTGTCTTGGTCTCCATGGTACACACCTTTCTCTTCTCTCTAGGGAAGAGGAACTGAGACCACCTACTGGCTGACCGGGGGGAAGGACCAGGAGTACAACCTGCCAACCCCTCCAACCGCGTAAGCTGCCTGGGGCTGTGATGGGGAGGGGTGGGGGAGGGGAGGTCTTGGCTTTGTAAGTTGTGCTACGTGCAGCCGGTTTAACTGTGGTCGAGTGCTTTGCCAGTGGCAGTGATGCAATGAATACAAGGTGAGAGACTACACACATGAAAAAGCTTGGAAACCTCCCTTCTCTGACTGCTAGAGGGTTTCAGGTCTGCTCAGGAGACCAGAGGACAGTTTAGGGCTCCCTCCCTGCCCCTCTGGTCGTAACAAAAGTAGAGCAGTGGAGCACACTGTACTGCATTGCCTCCCGTGCCTGCAGTGCTCTGCCGTCACCCGATGAAACAGGAACGCCCCCAGCTCCAGGACTGCGGGTCTGAGTCTTCACATGGAGCGTGTGTTCCCCGTGAGATGAGGAAGACAGGTTTCAGGTCCAAGTAACCGGTTTCAGGTTCCCCTAAAGATGACTCAAATGGTCTTCCAGTTGCACCTTGGCCACTGCGATCAGTCACTGTGGCCATTGGAATGGCTTTTGCTGTGGTGGAGAAACCCTGTTTTGCAGACTCCTAGACGCAGGACCCAGACACATGGGGAAGACCGTAGAGATGCCAAGTCAACCCAGATCGTCCCTGGGTCACGGGGGACCTGGCCCCTTATTAAGAGCACCCCAGGTCCCTTCTAAACTCTTGAAACCCTCCACCTGTTGTGAGCCCTCCCCCGACAAGCCACACTCCTAGGAAGGTGTGGGACCAATGTGTTTTCAGAGTTTCGTGGTGGCAGGGGCCTAGCACCCTCCTGGCTTCCTTTCCCCTCCCTGCAGAGGTATGTGTAAACCTAACCGTGCCTCCGAATTCCGCAGCATGTTGTTTCACTTTGAAATTGAAATATATCAATAATTTCCTGCTCGAAATATATTCTGCTTTTCCTACAACTACACAGAGCAGGGATGACAGATCTTTAAGCTCATCAAGGGAAGGCAAGGATCATTTTGTGTGCTCTGGACTTCCTGTGTTCAGCCCAGAACAGGTGTTCAACAAGTATTCAGTGAATGGAACTGGCGGTTCTGGAGCTGAGGGATAGTCTGTATGAATTGCTGAGAAGATCCGTTTTCCCTCCGCACTCTCTCTCCAGGGAAAGCCAACAGCGATTGCAAGCCGAGTTTGTAGACATGATCGCCAGCTCTTTACAGAAAAGACAGGCCTCAGGGATAAGGAACAGAAAACCAACCCGGGTAGCCAGCTACAAGAAGGGCACCCTGGAATACTTGCAGCTGAACACGACAGACAAGGAGAGCACCCATTTTTAAACCTCAGTGAAGTCTAAGGGCTCGGGCAAACAGCCCAGCTGCACTTGGGCAGGTGTCCTGAAGCTTCCATTTCCCTGACACCTCAGTGGAACGGAAGAAGACTTAGATGCAACCTCTTCAGCCTCGGCTGCCCTGTCTGGAACGTAGACTTGCTTCTGTGAATCAGATGTGTGCGCTCAGTGCGATAATTACCTTTTACTCTGGGGCCTAATCTCAACAGTTACCCCAGGGAGCTTCGACCTGGGAAAGAAGAGGAATGAATGTACCATCTCGAAGTTGAGGAGATTTTGTTCTTATTTCGCCTATTTTTGTTTTGTTTACTGGCTCTTTTTCCTTCTGTATTCGTGATAGGATTCTTTTTTTAATTGTCGCAATTATATTTTAAGTACTTTGCCTCCATTAAATTATATTTAACTCATAATTTTTGCAGAAAATATGCAGTATATGAGGTAGGAATAAAAGTTAAGTGTTTCCTGGGTCTGTGGATGTGTTTCCATCTTTTCCACCCATTTTTCCTGGAATGCACCATCCATCGCCTTGCACTCACTAAAAAACTGACTTAATTCCCCTGCACTGAAGGAGGGCAAAGCTAGCATCATTGCTCAGGGATACGAACCTTGACGTTTATCATTACCTGTGTGCATGTGGTAATTTTGTGTCTAGGCCTCTACCATAGGAGCTGGGCTAAATTCAAATCCTGTTTACCTGTAAAGACACATTACTTCAAACTCTTCAAACCCCCTTTCACATCCAGCAGCAAGCTCTTGCCCCTTCTAATGGCACTCCAGCATGACTCGTCTGCTTGAAATCTCTGGGGAAAGGACAAAAGTCAGGTTGAGTAGACTAGTATCAGCAAGGGCAAGAACAAGCATGTAACACCCTGGCACTAAACCACTAAAACAACTGCTCTAACCACATCATGCCTCCCCAGGCCTCTGCCACAAAAGCCACCCCAGAGATTAAGAAACAGGTTATGTCTTCTCCATCACCTGGAAAAGCAGACAATCAAAAAGTAATAGGGCTAAAAAAAAAATAAAAAAAAAAAGTAATAGGGCTTCCCTGGTGGCGCAGTGGTTGAGAGTCCACCTGCCAATGCAGGGGACACAGGTTCGTGCCCCGGTCCGGGAGGATCCCACACGCTGCGGAGCGGCTGCGCCCGTGAGCCATGGCCGCTGAGCCTGCGCGTCCGGAGCCTGTGCTCCGCAACGGTAGAGGCCACGACAGTGAGAGGCCCGTGTACCGCAAAAAAAAAAAAGTAATAAATTATCTCCTGATATATAGGTTGAACACGTAATATGCAGCAAGAGTCCTTCCTTGGAATCTGGAGGTTTATAATCTGTCTGTGCCTCTGTGTCCAGCACAAGGAGACTATACACAGGGATGAGGTCGTGGCATGGAAGTTCTTGGTCATTCATTCATTCAGGAAACACATTTGACCTTCTCCTTTTATTCCAGGGACTGGGCTTAATGTAGGCGGTAGAGACATACAGTCTCTGCCAAACCTTGAATCTTATAGGAGAGAGAGAAATGGAAAGAGATAAGTGGGTGTGGGGACCAAGCAGCATCCTTGACAACAGGCAAACTTAGCAACTCTAAGGTCGACCAGAAAATTGTTTTTAATGCTCACAGGGCATTGATGACAAACTTCTCAGTTGAAGGCTCCCGTGTTTGTATTCTATTATAGACTCTACATGGTTGTGAAATATTTCTTGACCTTTAAACAGATGTGTGGCCTCGGCTTGACCACTTAACAGTGTGGATGTATAACACCAGTGATGACAGTGACTAAGAATAGTGCCGGCCAAATTCCTTCTCTGCTCTTTTCTAGCTGTAAATTAATTAATGTCTCCAAGCCTCTGTTTCATTAATAAATCATTAATCATAATATCCACCTCAAGGAGTTGTTATAAGGATTTTTTTAATGAAATTTGTCAAGAACCTAGTACAGTGGTTCATATAGTAGATTTTCAACATATAACCTCTACCTTCAACTTTTCCCCCCTCTCTCTACTTGCTTAATTAGTCAGAACTAAAGCATTTCAAACACAGGACTTTCATGTGCAATAAGCGTACTTAAGATGATTTTTTTTCCAATAATTGATTATAGAATTTTGCAAATGTACACAAAAGTAGAGAGAATAGCTTATGAATCCCCATCGAGTCATCATCAGTTTCAAGAATTACCAATATTTTCCCAATCTTGTTGCATCTATCTTCTACCATCTTTGTTTGTTTTACCAGATTGTTTTAAAAGAACTTCCAAATATCCTGTCTTTCACCTATAAATACCTCAATATATCTTTTAAAAAATTTTTTTATTGAAGTATAGTTATAGAAAATGTGTTTCAGGTATACAGCAAAGTGATTCAGTTTTATATATACATATATATGTATATAAACATATATATATATATTCTTTTTCAGATCTTTTCCATTATAGGTTATTACAAGATATTAAATATAGTTCCCTGTGCTATAGGTCCTTGTCGTTTATCTATTTTATATATAGTAGTGTGTATCTGTTAATCCCAAACTCCTAACTTATCCCTCTCCCCCCTTAACCAGTTGACAAACAGTTTATGTAAAGGGCCAAGCAGTAAATAGTTCACACTTGGCAGGCAACCCTCTCTCTGTTGCAACTACTCACCTCTGCTGTTGTAGCACGAAAGTCGCCATAGACAGTATGCAAGGCCATGGGCAGGATGTGTTCCAATAAAAGTTTATTTTTATTTGCAGCTATTGTTTGCTTACCCTTGCTCTAGCAGATAAGGATTTTTTAAAAATCATAACTAAAATACCATTATCATAGCAAATGAAATTAATGAAAATTTCTTAATATCAACTAATAACAGGTTCATTTTATTTAAAATCTCCCTAGCTGTTTCAAAAAAATATTTTACATTAGTTTTTTCAAGTCAGGATCCATAAAGGTCTATATGTTTACACATGCCTGAAACATCACTCTAGTCTCTTTTAACCTATACCATTTCACCCATACACACTTTTTTTCTATGACATTTATTTGTGGAAGAAATTGAGTCATTTTTCCAACATAGTTCCTCAATGAATTTAGCTGATTGAATATTCATGGTTATGTTTAATTTGTTCTTATATTTTCCATATTTCCTGGAATTTGGTAGTTAGACCCAGAAGATAATTAGAGTCAGGTTTAATATTTGCCCAAGATAATTTATGTAGCCAGTCTCCCAAAGGAGAATTTAGATGTGGAAAATAATACACTGAGATTCCAACTCCAGTGATCAGTAATGAGACTAGATTATAATTGCACACTTGGCATTAGTTTTAATCACCCACTCCCACCTCAAACCCCCAGAATGACAGAAAATTACTTCTACAAAGAATTGGGAAACAGGAAAGAATATCCTTGGTGAACCGGAAATTATGAGGCAATTCTGAAAGACAGAAAACAGATGGGATCAGACTAAAAGAGAGAATAGTAGCCCAAAGCAATTGTAGAAGAGGACTGATGGAAAAGGTAGGAAGGGTTCTGGGGGAGCTCCAAGCTCAGAAGGAGCAGATGAGGGGGCAAGAGAGAATCTTAGCGTCAATCAACACTAGGGTGGAGGCTACCATTGCCAATGAGAGTACACAGACTTAGGGGGAACGGAGCCAGCTCAAACCCTGGCCTGGCTCTGCCTCTGACCAAAGCTGAGGCAGCCATTGCCAGCACGCACATTCCTGCCCACACTTG